GTAGATGGCGTTCTACAATGAGCAGGTGGTTGTGAGCCAATAGGCATAGTTGAAGCTGTTCATCATGGTTTACTTACGCACTGAACAGCCTTCCAGCAGATCCTGAAATGATGTTAGCAACGTAGCATTCACATGGACTCCTTGATAACTTACTCCTCAACGAACTCGCGCTTGAGATCATCAATGATCATCTAGGATAGCTTGTTAGTGGCGGTATTCTGGATGTGTGAGGGCAGCTTGTGGACATGGTGTTCACATACCTTCTCGGCACCAATCTGGAGAGCTATTTGATTGACAGCATTAGCTCACTGGATCAAGCGATTCCATGTCTAGATGGATCAATGAGAGCGGGGGTTGCAACGAACCCTTCTGCTCAACAGCGGCCCAGTCTAATATTCAGTCAGCTTGGATGCAGAGATGCGGAGCACATGACCTCTCACCCTCTTCCTGTCCAACATTGGCAAGGTAGCAGCTATTTCCCTATTAGACTGGTAACTCCGGATTGACGCCTGCCATCAAAGACGGCCGAGAAGTACATACACAACGGAGTATCTGAGTACCAAGTTAGCTGACTTGCCAAACTTCCGTCTTAGTCAATAACTTACCCCTGCTCCAAGAGCCAGGCCAGGATAGTGCTGGTGTCAAGACCACCGGAGTAGCTATAAAGCATCAATTAGCACATAAATCCATTATTGTCTCTTCCCCCATGCCACTGTATCTTTGGAGTGAGAACAGCGCTGTAGTCACATTTCGAATGTGGCTGAAGATGATTGTGGCTCAATGAGGCACGTGATGGCAAAAACCTTGTCCGGCAGAACTTCGCTCCACAAAACTTTTGGGACCGACTTTCGCAGGGCCAGGCGCGGGCCTCGAAATTGGAGGAAGGAGGGGCAGAACACTTACGCCAAGCAGACCTTTCCCTTCTCGCCGGCCATTTTGTCAATGATGTTGTAGGGGGTTTGGGGGGAATCAATTGAGGTTCTGCGGAACAGAGGAAGTTTGCGTCGAAGCAATTGACCGGATGAAGAGCTGGAAAGATTGTTGTTGATACTTCTGAGAAAAAAAAGTAAAAGAGGTGAGTGACGGCATGGGCCAATTAATTCTGTGTGAGTCAATGGGAGGTGGGATGGGCAGCGCTGTTTGGCGGGGGGGAGAATTAGCGGCGCTAAGTTTTTCCTGGGTATCTTATCTGTGGAGTCAGAGGTCCTGGTCCCCGTCCCGATGTCGGGTCACGCTTCCAGCTGTGACCACACTCCAGTTGTCAACGCCCTTTAGGTCTGGTCAGCATGTGGAGCCCCGGAATGAGATCCACTCGTCGGCACAGGATAAACCCATCGGGCACTTTGAGATACCAGGGCCAGGCCTGCGTGCAGCTCATCTGCTCCGACTTCTTGACGTGTGGAAGCGTGGGGCGGTGAGCGATGCGGCCGCACTAGCAGCTGATTGTTGAGAGCACGCTTTGGGCCTCGTCGGCCATGCCGTTCTTGATTCTCTGCCCTGCTCAATTTGGCTGCCGCCAGGCAATCCGTGGCTCAAGCATAATTTCTGGTAATTGACGAGAAAGAATGGCTTACAACAGTATCAATGATCTTCTTTTGATTGAACAGGTAGACTGGTTAGCATTGTCATGATCCCCTCGCGGTTATCGTTCTTGTTGAGGGCCGGTGACAGTGGCGGTACGCAGGATCATGAGGAAGGAGACGTGATGAAGTCGACTTGGAGTCACCTGTCGCTGCAGCTACGGTTCGGAATCGTGGCAGGGCTTAAACCTTCAGAGTCGGACCTGGAAGTGAAGTCGCACGTATGTGGGAGTCGGCATGCACCCGGATCGCAACCACTCAGCCCGCAGCAGTCTAATCAGGGTTGCCTATGTCAATATCTCCCTTCTGCTACTTCGAGACGACAAATCGGAGGAGTATCTGAGAGCAGTGTGTCGAGTGAGCTGGCTGAGAGCAATAATTCCACATGTGACACTCATCAGCAATGTTCTTGTGACCAGGCAGTAGGAGTTCTGACGGAGATATTACTTAGGAGAAAAAACCGCCATTCAACTGGGTTGGATGTAGCAACATAGACATCACCTAGGGCCAACTGTTTATTATGAATGAATAGGTTTTGAGTTATCCACCGATCAGAAGCATTCGGTTCATTAAGAGTTGAGACGCAACGTGAAACACTCCATCAGCCGGGGATCTCTCATCGAGTAGACTATCCTTAAAGCCAAACCAAGGGAAGTGAGAACCATTGGATCTAGCAGTTCACTCGTCCAAGCAGGGAGGTTGGGAAGATTTGGATCATTCCCTGGTGTCAATAACTACAAGCAACTTGCTTACAACTTGGCATCATGAAGCAATTCTACATTTGTCAACCTTCCAAATCAACATGAGTAACTTTAATAGACACTGTGGTTCAAATCATTATTTGTACCACAGAGCTTCACCTCGGCCTCAAGAAGTTCGTCAAGTAGCAGAGTGTACCAGAATCCGACCTCTAGTGCAGGTCTTTGTTTAGACTCTCATTTACGGTAGCTTCACACCTCAAACTTCGAAAATGATTTACTTGACCCATTCACTCAGATACAATACCTTGTAAGGTCCGAGTCCGTTGGCCGCAGCTGGCTCTAGACATGATCTCAGTCTCGATATCCACCCAGGGTGCTTCCCAGGGCTCCCTAGCATATATGTCTGGCAGTTCTAGCTCCTGCTGCTTTAAACAAACGCCTCTACTCCCCGTCTTCAACAGAACGAGCAGTATCGTCCACTTCTCAAACCCCCAGTTTTCATCCCCTCTTGGTTCCACCTGATACCCGTGGCTGCTGACTGGCTTCTCGCGCTATCAAATGGCACGACACCGATTCAACTAAGCTATTCCATTGGTCATGGGTTGATATCAAAACATACACGCAATTTTTCGCTGCCTCGGGAATTATCCTAAATTTTAAATTTACAAGAATACTTCAAGCGATATCAAGTCGGATTGCCATACATTTCGCTGTCATACTCTATCGAAATGCGTATCTTTAATCGATGGATTAAGCCAAAGACCTTCAGGCTTGTAGATGCGTAAATATCATTTTCACATATACCCTCGAGAAGGCCGGTCCTAATAGGCCTCTAGCGGTAGCGGTGTGCATATCAGTTACCTTTCTCATCCCTTGACGTGAGCCAGACCCATGGACACTGCTTAGATCTACTTACTCTCCTTACCTAGACAATCACTCATACTCGAATACTTCTAAGCCGCGCATAGAATTGGGCGCAAGGTTGGATGGGAACCACCAGAACTATAAATGTGCTTTCTCCTTACTTGTGAGGGCATGATCAAACTGGGGAAACTACTTGAGATTATTTTCACACCGTACGACCCTCCAATGAAAAACACCAAAAAGCCGCCCCTCCAACGCTGAACACACGTCATGTACGCAAATACATGACATTCAGAGACCACAGAGATCAAAGGAACATGGATCAGTTGAATATTAAGATAAAGCAAATCAAAGCCATCAGGACTGAAAAACGCCCATAATCCGAAGTGTCAATCTCCATCATCCCCGAACCTCCTGAACAAACATCAGAATTCCGCTCTAGTCCCCCCGCCCCCGCAACCTCCAGTCCACCCAAAATGGCGATTCCCGCAGCCGATCTACACCCCTCCACTCCGCCAAAGCAGATCTTTTCTCTTTTCCTCAGCGGTTGTACTTTACTCGTGACCCGGAGGGGCGTTGCGGATCGGTGTACTTGCGCATATGGAATGGGTGATCAGTTCCAGTAGGGACGCTGAGGGCCGCACATCAACACCCCAATGTCCCCGAGGGGCTCTCCTGATAATTCATCTGCCTGACCAAGGTTCATTCACTCTTCCGATGTTACCAGGATGGGAGCTGGCGGTCGCTCCCAGATCCAGATGTACCTGCATCCACCCGTCTGACGCTGAGGGAGCGCGTCGGCTGCACATCACCAAGAGAAAAGAGAATAATTTCCCTGTGACTTCAACATGCCATCATCGAAGACCCTCTACGGTATTATCAACTTTTGTGATATGTTTACATCATGAAGAAGACAGCCAGAGTCGAGATAGCGCTCAGTTGTTGGTAGTTAACCATATGACTCCTGCGAAGTTGAAGTCTGTCTCTATCCCCCACTACCCGGGCATCTTTGGCTCTTGGGAGGACACCTTGCGCGTGCAAAGGTTCCGAGATGCCTTGCAATCAAATATCCCAGGCGGTCCGCGACTCATGCCATACTGCAGCCACTCACCTCAGAGCGGCAAGACAATGTAACGAGGTGTAAGTGTCCGTACCAGCCTGCCGTGAAGAACTATGACAAGTAGCACGAGCATGCAGCATGCACTCATGCTGTGCGCCCCTGACTGCCGATCAGCATCGTTAGGCATGCGGTAGCTTCTCCTATGATTCGAAGCGTAGCCTTTTGAAGGTTCATAATCGCATAAGAAGGTCGGGATATTGCAGTGCCTTCCTTGACTTCAAGTCCTGTTTAAAGGTAGTCCGCAATTTTCAGCCCAACCACCAGAGCCTAAACTGTGGAGCTCTAGTCCTGTGTAAGTTGGAGCCCAACCATTACAAGTAGGTAGACCGTAGAGCATATGCATTGCAGCACCAAATTGAACAGTGAAGTAACATGGCGTCTGGCTTCTCAACCATCAAGTCGATCTACAGATTACGATCCTTCAAGGCCTCGAAGCAGTAGATGAAACGTGATCAACTTTGATGCATATATCGAGGATCCAAGCCAGTTTATGGGTGCTTCGTCCAGGCCCGTATCAGGAGCCCGTTGGTCAGGAAACCCCAATGCTGATCTAAAAATCCTGGCAAGGTGCATTCTCCGGGGCGAGAAACAAGATGGCCCAGTCCGCCCTGACCATAATGACTTCATAGTGGACATTGCGGCCTCGGAATTTGTGGAAACATACTTGTCTGCAGTGTTGTTCAAAAAGGTGCCGGGGAAAACGGTCCCATGGCTGAAGAAATCTGCAACCCGCCGCAAATGGGTTCGGAGAGACTGCCGCAAAGGATGGTCTCGCGACGTCAGGATATACGTGGCCGAGGCTCAGGGAGGCAAGCGCCCGACTGGCTCGTTAACGTTGTGATTAAACGTCCGCACTATTGTCGTGTTGCCATCCAAACGGTCGACTCGGGAGATGATTCAAGGCCGTTTATTTCGAGACGCCCGTGGCCAATGGCGATGGAGTGATGATGTAACGTGCCACGTGCCCGATTTCAGCATTGTGCAGTCGTTCTGCGGTCGTGATTCTGCCATGGGCGTGGGGGCAAAAGGCATGACGTCAAAGGGGTGTTTCGCATCACTTTGGAGGTTTGGAGCGAGGCACATGAACGCAGCTGGATTGTCTCTTCGTAATTTCAACGCGCGTTTACAACGTCCAACCTGCAGAGTTAGGTAGGAGCGAGTGGGCTACGCCAAGGGGGAGGCCTGTCCATTCGTCATGGCGATCATCTCGGGACGGCGTTGGGGGCGCCGGGATGGTGAGCCGCATCTCGCTCTGATGATCGCGAATGCAGTATGTTCCACTAGCGACAGTCCAAACGAGCAGGTTGGACCATGTAACCGATTGGGGTTGTCTGACTTTGACTCTGTAAGTGGCGTTGTTGTTCTTCACTTCTTCACCATAGCTCGAGCCTTGCATCAGGTTTGTAATGGGAACCGCCATGGGCTGTGATATTGATACGCTCTGCATCCCGTAGAACGCTCACTCTGTATGTGTGCGTGTAGCTATTACCTTAGCCAAAGTGGATGAGAAGCTAAGTAAGACGATGAGGACTCGTCTTGACTTGTTGTCATCGAGTTCAAGCTGTTGGCCGCTAAGTTCAACACTGGCTTACCGTCGCGAGATGTGACGCAGTGTACGGAGTACCTAGACTGACCCATGTTTGCCATCCTCGCAAGCTATGTGTGGCTGCAACACCGGCGCAGTTCGACTAGGACGGGATGAGATGTGGCTGGTGCTGCAGAAAAGGGTTAGAAAATCAATTCGGCCAAAGTCGCGCCAAACGTGGAGAGGTAAGGGATGAATGACGACAAACGATGGCTCGTGCTGAGCAGTGGTCTGGACCAGTCCATTCGGCGCTCTAGCTTCAGGCTTTTTTGTTCTCGCCGTTTGCGGGTTTGCGATGTTACAAGCGCGATGGGATATCTTTGGCGAGAACGTAGAATTCAGTATTAGTGAGATAGCCTAGCAAATTTGCCAGGCAGCTGAGAAGAGCCACAAGCTTTCCAGCATCAAGTACGAGAGCTGAACGACGTGTTTGATGATGCCATCTTCCCATCTGCCCCGCATATGGCTGACCCAGCTTGAGCCTCAGTCTGAATGTAGCAGGGAGGTCATCATGATTCGTTGGTAGCGAGCTATATTGTGATATCACTGCTCGCACATCGCGCAGGCGGGTACCGGTAGGCATCTTCATTAACCTCATAGAAATGGGGCGGTACACACCGAGCTCGTGACTGAGACTCCCGCGTCGCGTGGATGACGGACGGGAGGCCGGTTTGTGTATCTGACTAGCCGATTGCCCGCATATCAATAAGAGAGATGGGCTGCCATTATCCATAGTTAGAGACAGGTTCAGTGAATGCGTAAGGAAAAGCGTCGTCAGTGAAATGACAGTGGCGTGTGTGGCTTGCGCATGGGCGCCCATCATCATCTCGGAGGCCTATGGTTCGTCGCGGGGTGACTCGGTGTATGGATTGAGCGCGATATATGATTGGTTCGACCGGCAAGCAGAACGGGCAATGCAAGCGGTACGGTGCGACGGTGGCCCAGTGATGCGGGAAGACGCGAAGCGGAGACAAGAATCGAAGTAGTCTCGAAAGGAGAGGAGACTGAGAATCTAAGACAGGCTCGGCGGTGTATTAGCAAATAGGACTACATGACGGGACTCATTGGAGAAGAGAAAGAGAGGGAAACGTAGCGGCCAACCCCTGCAAAAGACATTTTTTTGGTTGACGATGGTGACGATAATCTGGGAGTAAGCATTTGGTGTTGCAAATCAGATTGAGCGAGCACTCCATGCTAAACGCTGGAGGGGATCCCCCCGGAGAGGAATGAATCATGGGCCCTGACTGGTCATGCCTCAATCTGGCCGGTGGCCTCAGGCAAAGGGGCCGAATCCATATTTACCCCCCAATGATGCATCAGGGCGTCTGGTTCCAAAGATGCTATCCCTGCCAGAAGCGGGTATGACGATGAGGCAGACGTCATAATGGGGGCCCCACGCCATCCAAGCGAGTGGAACAGGCTCCGATCCTGGATGGGCCCCATGGGATGAGTTGGATCACAGCCATGGGTTCAAGGTTGACCACGCCAACCGGGCCCTGCTTCTGGAGTTTTGGCACCTGGTTTTTCTGCGCCTGGGGCTGGCAAGCCTGGCGTTACGTGCGTGTCTGGCTGCAACCGGGTGCCCAAATCATGGAATTGGGAAACATGGCTGCGAGAGGCAGACGGGAAAATGCGAGTTTTGCATCTTGGACTTGCGCCCTCGTCTGACCCCAGCCCTGGTTCGGCCGGGGGGCATGGTGTATGATTGACCCAGATAGAGATGGGTAGAAGGAATGAGCTGTCGGATGTTTGTAGATGTTGTTGCCAACCGTGAGGGTTCCCAGATGATGAAAACCGTCCTCAAGCTGCTTCTGGCTGCCGGCTGTCGCTCTGCCGTGAATGTAGGTGTGTCTGTGACTAACTGTCAATTCTGTCAGAATATACACAGTGCCATGTCATGCATCATCCCAACTTAACAACGCAAGTGGCCGACTCTAGCGTGTCCAGCGCCCCTGAACTCTGGTTCCTTGGCGCCGACGTAGCGTCGCTCGTGGTCGAGACACAGTGAGAGCATGCTTATTGAACTGTATGCGTATGTGTGCCGATTCTTGTCCTCAGTGCTGTGTCATCACTTGCCTGAACCTCGCTATCGTTGAGAACATGGTTCAGCGTAGCAAATGTACTGTTTGTCCTGTGTATAGCGAATCCCGCGGAGAATCGACGAGAGAGGCTTCTTGATGTCCCTTGCTTGGCACTAGCCGTTCCCCTGTCCCATCTGAGGCGCAATCTTGGATCTGGTACTCCGTACATGGCGAATGGGTCCGGGGTTGGGATGGTAAGAGGGACGTTTTGAAACGACTCGATTATTTTGACTGCAAACATCATGGTAAGGCAGTTGACGGGAGCTGAGAAGATTAGATTAAGACTTCTCCCTCCCAGTCGAAGTAGGAAGCAAGGAAGATGATGGATGGAACATCTCTGGAATGATTAGGAATCCTCAGGTACTTCCACTGTACATAAGGTATCTGCGAAGTCGAGCTACGCCGGCAGGAACGGAGAGTGTGTTGAGGAAAGTGCCTTTCATGATACTGGCCGGAAAGGGAGAGAAGCCAAAGTAGCTCCTTCCTCCGCATGAGACGCTCTGCCTGGCATTCGTCGAGCATGGCAGGAGTCCAGGACGCAGGTATTGAGGGGCCTTCCCCGAACCATGCACGGTTACCTCAAGGCGCGTATACGGTCTCAGGAACCTCCAGTGAAGGTACATGTACACTGGCCAAGTACCAGGAAGCACCCCACCTTGGCTCCTGCTACTTTTTTTTTGACGAGCAAAACACCACACAAGACAATGTCGTTGAGAAGAGAATATTTGGGAAAGAAGCAAATGACTACATGTTTCATTGCGGTTTCCCAACCATCTATCTCTCACGTCTGTCCATCTGTGTGATTTGTGCAATTATCACCGACCAGATCATGGAGTGACTGCAACTGCCCTGGGAGACAAATGATGAGGGGAAGCACGAGAAGAGAGGGAAACAAAAGAAGCCCCTCCACGGTTGCCGTTGATGACTGATGCTCTTACCAAGGACGCTCTTCCACGGGTTCTGTCTTTCCTCACTCTCTCCCATTCACCTGACAAACCTCAAGTCGCTCTGCTTCCTGCACCACCCGTCTCTACACTGATTCACGCTCGGCTGGTTCACCGAGGGCTCCAAAATAAAAATAAGGCCCATCGACCTTTTGCATCATCATCACCTTGCGCATCTACAGCCCCGGCCGCAGCCTGTCTCTTGCACACTGTCCAATCTGCGCGACCTTTCACACGCCCTCCCTCTCGGCCTCTCACACACCTCGCCGGGCGAAGAGCTACCTCATCTGACGCTTGTCCGCCAAACCTCTGTCATCATCATCGCTCAAATCCAGTACACTGCGCCAGTCTACTGTCCAGTACGGTAGTCAGCCCGTCTCTGTGTGCCACTTCCGAAGACCAGGACGAAGCAACGCACACTCCCCCCTCTTCACTCTAGTGTACTCGCCCCCCCAGAAATTCCAAGTCTTCGACTTCTCCCAACGTGTCGCACGGTACGAGCACCAAAGTACCTCTACCCTCTGCGCACACCAGACTAAGGTACCTCACGGAGAGTACCTACCTACCTACAGCGACTACGGGCAGAACACGCCGTCATCGTCTACCATTCTTCTTCGCCTGGCCCTGTCAACCTGAACCCAACCAACACCCCTCCCCGGCTCCAAATCCATACCCATTTCCCTCTTTCTACCTTGCTTTGGTGCGGCCCCTAGCGCCGTCTGCCCTTTTTCGCCCTTCCCTTTCGCTTGGTCCCCCGGCCTCTTCTAACCAAGACAAACGTGCTGCTGCTGCTGCCCGTCTTCCCGCCTGATCTCCAGCTGCCTGTTCCTCCAACTTCCGTCATCCGAGTCCACGTTGCCCCTCCGCCAACATCACCAACGCTCGCCGTAGTCCACAAATTCCTCTTCCTCGCAACAATTTCTCTCTTTGAGCCGCTGACTTCCCCTCCCCAATTCACAAAGAAACAACCTTGCATCCGATTCTGTCGACCTCGACATTTCCTCAATTCTCTCTTCTTGTGATACAACAATCCATCAGAAGTTTGCCCAGCGTTCAAAGTGCTGCATCGCCTACCGAGCATATTTCCACGACTCGTGCTTCGCCGTCTCCGCATTACCAATCACACTCAAACATCGAGCGTCCCCCTCAACACGGGGCAGGTCGACCGATTCAGCCGCCGATTACTGCGACGTGCCCTGCGTAAACCGATCTTTGCGAATAACCTCACATTTTCGTCGTCCTTCGTAGCGGCCCAATCTAGCATCATGTCGACGATACAGCAGCTTAAGAACTTTATCCGTCACGGTATGATGACCCTCTCTTTCCCCCCTGCCTCGTCGGCGGACTGGGCCCTTTCACAACTCGAGCTGTTTGTTCGTGCCGTGCCCTGATTCTCCGTGGCGACTTCAACACTCTTGTTGATTACCCATTTGCTGACGCTATTTACGTATAGGAAAGCAAGCTCGAGCGAACAACGATGAGCCAGCAGCCAAGCAGTCACCGCCGCCTAAGGCGCATGTAGGCGTATCAGAGCCTGCGTATGCCGCCGCACCACCTGCTCAGGCGATTCCCGATGCGTACTCAGTCGCTGGTGATGGCCAGAACCGCGCCGCTCAGGCAAACCATGCCGCCGCCCACGCCGCCGAGCCGAACCAGTACAAGACGTCCAAGGCTGGCAAGAACATTGACAACACACACTTGGCCAAGCTTGTGGCTGAGGAGAACGAGAGCAAGAGCAAATTCCCGAGATATCCCGGCCTGGAGAGATGGGAATTGGTCGAGAAGATGGGCGACGGTGCCTTCAGCAACGTCTACCGCGCGCGCGATACCTCTGGCGAGCACTCAGGCGAGTGTGCCATCAAGGTCGTCCGCAAGTATGAAATGAACAGCATGCAGGTGAGTTAGTGCTTGGGTGGTTACGGCCGCGACCATGATTTTCTCGCTTTTTCTTGTTCGCTGCGTTGTTGTTTTTGATTCGAGCCTTTTGGAGCATTCCCATACCAACCGAGGGTCGTGATTAGGGAAACAAGCATTTACATCCGGACTTCAAGAAGGTCCCCAAGGCTGCAGAGGTGCGAAAACTTTCTATATTTCATTTGTCTACTGTTCGGGCCATCCTCATTTTTCGACACTTTCATGTTGCTCTACAGTCACTGTTACTTCAGGATGGCCTCCATTTACTTGATGGACACCTTTGCTGACTTCAGCACAGAGAGCAAACATCTTGAAAGAGGTCCAAATCATGCGGCAGCTTGATCACCCAAACATCATCAAGTTGGTTGACTTTTCCGAATCCCGGCAATATTACTACATCATTTTGGAATTGGCGCCCGGCGGCGAGCTTTTCCACCAGATTGTCCGTCTCACCTACTTCAGCGAGGAGCTTTCAAGGCACGTCATTGTACAAGTTGCGCAGGCTTTGGAGTACCTGCATGAAGAGAGAGGTGTTGTTCATCGGTAAGTACAACACAGGTTGCTTTCACCGGTCCACACCGGTGAGATTCAGGCAGTGGGCGGCGGGGGTGTCGATCATACATATCCACGTGGCGTCATTTGACCGTCTAGTTGGCTAACATGCATTGTTTCAGTGATATCAAGCCTGAAAATATCCTCTTCAGCCCAATCCCTGTCATTCCGTCCAAAAATCCCAAGCCTAAGCAGCCTGGTGACGAAGACAAGGTTGACGAGGGCGACTTTATCCCTGGAGTTGGTGCGGGTGGCATCGGCCAAATCAAGATTGCCGATTTTGGCCTGTCCAAGATTGTGTGGGATAACCAAACCATGACGCCTTGCGGTACCGTCGGATACACAGCTCCCGAAATCGTCAAGGATGAGCGCTACTCGAAGTCGGTCGACATGTGGGCATTGGGCTGTGTCCTCTACACGCTCCTTTGCGGATTCCCCCCTTTCTACGACGAGAGCATCGAGGTTTTGACGGAGAAGGTCGCCAAGGGCCAGTACACTTTCTTGTCCCCTTGGTGGGACGATATTTCAAAGTCTGCCCAAGACCTTATTTCCCACCTTCTCACAGTGGACCCCGAGAAAAGATACACCATCACCGAATTCCTCGCACACCCTTGGATCAAGGGCTCTGGCCCAACGCCTCGTGACGAGAAGAAGACGCAGCCCGATATGCTGCGTGCGTTCGATGCTAGCAAATTCAACGATGGCGACCGTCGTTATGACTTCCGTTCTCCCGGTGCGGTCAATTTGCGTGAGGTGTTCGACGTTGGATATGCTGTCCACAGGCAAGAGGAAGAGGCCAAGCGCCGGAAGCAAATTGGTACCAAGGGCGGTGTGCCTGCACGTTTCCTCAACAACCTTAACGAGGATGAAGAGGATGAAGACGCGGAAATGGCCGAGAACAAGGAAGCCGAATACGTCCACAAGCCATCGCAAGCGACACAGGCACTCGAGCAGAGCATGCGTAATGCCCAAATCAAGGATCAGCAAGAGCATCGCGGACGCGAGCGTGAGCGTCAAGCGCCTGCAGCGAATGAAAAGGGTTACGGTCAACACTCGGCAACTGTCACGGCTGCAGCTCGCCAACAGGTTAGAGACCGGAACAGACAGAAGGGTGCCTTTGAGCTCAGCCTTGACGGCGCCACGTTGCTGGGAAGACGAAACAAGCAGCCTCTCGCGGCCCGAGCTGGCGGGGCATAGGAGCCCCGTACTCCAAGCTGCACTCCTCCTGGGAGTGAGGTCAAACTTGCACGAAGCCCTAGCGCTACGACGTAGGCCTAGAAGGTGGCAGTATAAACGGACCATTGTGAATTTTCTGGCGTAAGGGTTACAGGGGTGGCATATCTTGGTCAAGTGGCCGAGGATACTAGCGCGATTCATGATACGAACGTCGTGGATATCCAGGTTGTGTCTGTCAAAGTAGGGTTTTGTTTGTAATTTGTTTTTCCGGGGAGGAATAGCTACGACTCGTATCTCTATTATACGGCATCATACATACATAGGCTCGGAGTTCATTGGCAACTGGGACCATCGTCCCTCATTGCATCAACAATGAACGAGATTTGCAATTCAAGTTCAAGTTCAACTCTTCATACAATGTTTCGTTCAACTTGGGGAAGGTGCGGTGATGTACTGCTAACTATGGTGTTAAAGGAGTCTGCGGCACGCCCATGGTCCAGATACTAGACAGTCTCGATGGTAAGATCCTTTCACGAGCCTTTCATGGCATCAACAGTACCATTCTCCTTCTCGGTCTCGCACCTTGCCATTCGCCCACGACACAGCCGAACCGAATGTTGATGGTTGTGGCAGACTCGAACAGGTACCTCTTGCTTCTGGAAAGTTTCGTTCATTAATTACAGGCTCAGGAGGTTTTCCAACTGCCATCATGGCCCCATCAGACCTTGGTGAACATACCGAGACAACGGTAGTGTCTTTCCTCGGGAAGGGATGGAGTCATTCGTGTCCAGGAGAGCAGTTACCGGACAGGCGGGGCGGCTGCTCTGTTCGTCGGGTCTTCTCCCATCCATGCACCCGATAGATGCAGCTGCGGTCGCGATAGGAAGGTTCGTGACTCCACAGGTAGGAGTGGTGCAGCTGCAATGGAAGTACAGGTCAGGTTAGGTAGGGTACCTTGGTAGTACTACTTTCCCATCGTGGCAGGTGGCATTCGAGGGTGTCCATTGGGATGTTGCCTTCTCCCCGACGTGGAGTGAAGAAGGCCGGTGGAGGCTTTTGGTGTTCTTGTGATGTTTAAATCGACAACACTTCTGCATCGTTGAATCCTGACGTCTTTTCTCGGTCCCCCTGGGCCCCGGCCTTTTACCTAGATCTCGCGCATCGTATTTGCTTTGACGGCTCGCTCTTCTGCCTCGAGTCGATGATTCTCTGCCTGGCTGCGAACTGTTCCTCCTGGTCGCTAGACTCGTTTGTCGAACACCTGCCCGTTCGGTTGATGGTGCTGTAGGGCCTTCCAAGAGTCGAACCGCGTCTGAATATCCAGCAGCAAATCCCCTTTGAGGCGTCGGACTTGCCACGTCTTCCCCTACTGATCTATTGTCTGCACTTCTGGTCTCGATCGGTCTCGCACACGGTAGCTTGAGAATTCCCACACCGGGTGGCCCAATGCCAGAATGTGTCGCCTCATCGAATCAGTAATCTCGAACACCAGGCCCGATGATGATATGGCAGTATATCCTTCTCCTAGCTCCGAAGACGAGAAGTGGCGGCGAACGGCCAGGATGGTACGCACACCTTCGATCAAACCCCGCCATACACAGCGGGTGCCGAGCCACTGAGACAGGATTCGCCAAGATAGCAGCCCTCACTCATGCCCGAATCTCTGCAAGGGAGAGTGAGAGAAGGTCAGCGGGACGGCCCGCTCGCGATATTCGATCCGGCGGGAGCGGAGCTCACCGCGCTTCTTGATGGGGAGGAGGGGTCGTTCGTGGGACCAGGGTCGGATCGGATCTAAGGGTCACGATCTCGGAGAGGCGCTTGCCCGGGGCCCCAGATGGCGCAATTATGGGGACCTTGGCGCGATGGCCGATGTATTGCGCAACGACAGCTGATTGAAGAGGCTCGGGCTTTGACCATGTTCATGGAATGACGAATGACTTGTGATCAAACTTGAGTCTTTGACTTTCGAAACAGCAACTTCAACTCTCAAGATCGACAAATATCGTACGCAGGCTAGCAAGAACTCCACCTTGCAGTGCTTTCGACCTCGCCCGGTTTCAAGTGATCGATCGCGAGGCTTGACTAGATCAAGAGCTGAAGGCCATGTCGATAACAAATTGTCGACCAAGTTGTCTTCTCACGAAACTTGCTTGATCACGTCACCTTAGCCTTTGAGGCCCAAGCCTACAACAGTAGTTGGACAAACGTGGGCATTTACCATGTGCGGTGCCTTATTCTTCAACAAATGATGCCAGGACCAACTTTTCTGCTTGGAGAGATCCATGCAAAGACAATTTTCCTTTCGAACGTTTCGGGTCGCTGCTCGCGTGTTCAAAGTGTGCCTGAGTTGTCAATTAGGTAGCTTTTGGTTCTGAATTCAATCAACGGCAACTCGCCTAGTACGGCAAAAAAAAAAAGAACGTCGGCTTCTTCCATTCGAGAACCATTAATGGCTGCGATTCCACGTTTACTGTTTCGAACTTTTGGTAGCAAAGAACCAGCTAACCTAAGTTTCTCCAAAGATTCGGAGTGCATAAGGCAAAATGCAACACAACAAGCGTAACTGCGGCTTGGCCGTCTCGACACAGTCACAACCCAAACTGACTATAGATACAGGCACTGAGCCTTTCAGCCAGACTGCCAGCTTCAAGGGACTTTCGTTCGATATTTTGTCATTTGATCAGATCATTCTGCCAAGTACCTTACAGAGATGCTGCTGCTGAGTGCAACTCGGTGTTGAGAACCTTGATGGCCTGCATTGAGAAGGCCATTTTGGGATTGTCTCAGGAACCCGGATGGCCAACCTTGATGGCCCAGCATCTCACACAAAATCAGTCTCCGCCATCGCCAATCCGCCAACCATCACCCGCGATGTTGCTGGAATTGAGCAAGATAGCCAGCGCATCCTCGAACTATGGATAGGTCAGGTGGCAGAACTCAGCATGTCGACGACTCGCAACGGATGCTGATGGACCGGGTGTTTTGATGAGCCAATTTTCCCCAGCCAGTTCGCACTACCCTTCCCGCCGGGAGAATGCCGTCTCTCCCTTCCACCGCCATTCTGAGGCCCCTGAGATAGAGAGGTGGTTGAAGGCATAAAAGGGGCCGCTCGTCCTATCTTGCTCATCTGGAACCCCTTTTCCTGTCATCTCTTCATTCGAGTGTCCGCAACACCGTCAAGTTGGCCGCTTTGAGGGCCGAAGCAAATCGACCAAGATATGCGACGACAGCCCAAGGACAGACAGCTGGGCAGAAGGGGAAGACGCAGAAGACCTGCACACTGTATCGATCAGTCAGACTCTACTCCTCGCATCTCCTCCTCGCTTCTCCTGGCGTCTGATGTTTACCTCTCGGGTACCGGCTCGACTTCAAGCAGGGCTCGACTTCTTTGAGAACCCCCACGGTAAGAAGCCACGGCCTCTCCTTTTTCCTCCTTCTCCATGTTCATTTCTCTCGCCTGTCTCGCTTCATGCCCCCTCTCTCCGGTCTCTTGACTCTCTTCACCTCGAGCTCGGAGGAATTGGCCGATTGGGTAACCTGCTCCATCACGAGTTGCTCAGCGTCGCCGCCGGCCAATCTCGATGATTGGACAACCCACGCCTTTTAGCTAAGAGGTATTATCGCTCTCTCCTCTTTACGGAACGTCCGATAGGGATTTTACTAGGATTGTCTTCCCTTGGCAAGGTTCTTTTGAATCTCCTCCAAGCGGCGGAGCCGAGGTTGAGCTGAGGTTTAGGCAAGAGCCTATAGTCTCACTGGTGAGACTTCATCACTGAGTTGTCTTCGTTTACCTCGCTTTCCTGAGGCCTTTCACTATGCCATGACGATGGATGGCGAGGTCATCTGGCGTTGTACAAGTCTGTCGTCTGTCGATTCTCTCATCTTTTCCTGTCTGTTGTTTTCCGTCTTTCACTCGAGGCTGCCTAGTAAGCAGACGGATCCCACTTGGGCAGACAGCTAGTCCCAACTTTGGCCAATACGGGATGGCTGCGTCGCATCACCTGAAGGCTTTGGTGCGGGATGGTACAAACTCTGTTTCGCGCGGGTGCCGCCGCCAAGCGCATCACAAGCAGATTTCCTTCTCTGTCGTCCTACATACATTGTCATGCATACCTAGACGGATTCACACCAATACGCACCCAACCACGACGAGCAATGCCGCCGTCGTCTTTCCTCAGTCTGGTGCCGTGCCCCAGAGGCGTCCACTCTCATGGTTCTTCGTCCCGAAGCAGCCTTTCTTCACACATCCGATAATCCACAATCCAGACCGGCTCTGCCCACCCTCCCACGCTGTTCCTAGCCCGAACGTTTGACCGAAGATGGGCGGGGCTACCCTCATCGGGCACTTCTCATCCACTCGCCATTGACGATCCTTCCAAGCCCGCCTACAGCATGACATTCACACGACCACGGCAGCCATGCACGCTCCATTCTGCCGCCCTGTTCGCCATATCGAACCCTCGTGCGTGGATGCCCAGTCTGCCACACTCGATCCAATCACAAGAGCCCGGCTCCCCGTCGTCGGGTGGGACCCCCCAGCCCGAACGTGGCACCCTGCTCCGTGTTAACAGCCGACCACACGTCTCAAAGCTTGCACAGCTCTGCACCCGTAGATTCGGTCCCAGACCCCACTCCTCAACGGTGCCAGTCCACCTTGAGGCCGCAGGGAGCTATTATGGATCAAACCGTGGAAATACCAGCCTGATGCGGTATCACACAACCACCATGTCATCTCTCTGCCGCCAACAGAGCTCGCGCGGTATTCGCGGTTTACACTACGGAGCACTTATCCGATCATCCAGGGATAGACACAGCCCTTCCCCGAGGACTCCCGCGCCTTCCACGTAATCGCGAATGAAATCGCGCTTCCTCGTCAGATAGCCGCCTGATGTCTGGCTGACTGATACGTGGGGGACATGCCTCCGAGATGGCTATATAAACCCAGACCAGCTCTGATTCAAAATGAGATTCTTTCTTCATCCGACTCATCAGCTTCAAACTCCAGACCTCAACAACAAACAAACACTCAAGCTTTTTCGCTTCAACCACCAAACTATCAAAATGGCCCCCTGGTGAGTGAACCACCTGCTCTATCTTCCACACACGGGAGGTACAACACAGCCATGAGTCTCTCTGGATGATTCGGATTCCCTTGGGGTTTCAATCTATCCCACCGGACGAGCCATGCCTCTGATATCTTCAACGTTGACGCTAACCTGATGTGAATAGCACCTGCTCCTCCTGCGGCTCCAGCTGCGCTGGCTCCTGCACTGCCTGCTCTTGCGGCTCTTGCTCCGTAAGCCACATCTACCTTATATGACAACAGATCTCAATATACTCAGGTGCTGACTTTTGATCGTTCCAGCACTAAATTCAGCATGAATTTTCTGCTCCCATCAAATTTGACAACCCGGAAGCGGCTCGCTCGCCAATAGCCAATATCCAACTCGAGCTGTGTGCCCTCCATTCGACAACGCGCGGGTGGAAGGATTGTAAGATGTTGACTTGGGGTGGATCTTTGACTGCTGGAACCCAGTGCCATTTGCCAACAATGATTGCCGAAACGGGGAATCCTCTAGTCTGTGGAGAACGGCGGGTTTCATGTTTACGCTTGACAATTCCGGCATTTCTTGTTGGTAGGTGGACTGGGGCACGAGATGGAGAATCCTTCTTTCATTCTTTTTTCTCTCTCGTCTCGTGGTATGATAGTTTTGTTTTGAGATGGCAATACGAACTACGAGTGTTTTGATTCCCGGGAAAATTCTTACCTCTTCTGCTGGTGACCCAAACATGCGGCCTATTATTGTTTGGACAAAATACCTATTCTGCGCATAATGAATAGCTTTGTATCATTTTGAGTGATTTAAATGGCATCTGATTATTCGGGGTGGAGCGGGGGAGCTTCTTTCCTCTGAGAGAGGTTGCGGGCGGCCCGCCGAGTGCCTACCTAAAGCGGGACATGCATGCATGGCTTTGTGAGCTGGTTGACGCTATTGCGGAGACTGGAGCTCTTCGGGTCTCCAAACTTGCCAACAGTCTGTAAGGGGAAAAGAGTGTTCAGGTTAGGTTTTCTCCAAAGGGGTCAGCTCCAATGAAGATGGGAGGAAAGTTCGGGATGACAGCAAGCCCGTTCGGGAGAGCTGCAGAATGTCCCTCCCCCTCCACTTCGCTGGCACCTCTGGTGGTTTGTCCCCCACTCGGCGTCGGGATCGGGGTTCATGCGGGTATGTGCTGGACGGTTCGCAACGGAAGAGGAGGTGCGGGGGACGAGGCGTTTGGTTTGTTGGTGTGATGAATAGATACATGTACCATATCAATACAGGGCGTCTTGACTGTCAGCTGACTGATTTTGACGGATTGATGCGTTGGAGGGATGTGGCTTGGCACATGGGAAGATGTGGTTGCGATAGGAAGGATAAGGTAGGCGGGATAAGATACGCAGCATGCGGCAAGAAACGGGTGGTAGAGTTGAGGCTTGTGATTGGGGACGTGAGTTATGCGAACTTGACTGGGTGTGGTTTGGCGGCGATTTCGTTGGGGGAGCTATCTGAGGCGCGGCGCGGCGCGTGGTTACTAGGTACTTACTGAGTATTCGGTGCCGTGATCTGCTGGCAACGGGGTTTCGGGGTTTATCTGTGTTGACATTGAAAGAACGAGAGGGCTTGGAAATGATGTGAGGTCTATGGGAGTGTTGGTTACCTACCTCATGACCTTGGATGATGTGGTTGATCTGTACGATATTGGCAATTGCTGTCTCCTTTCGGGGTGCACGTCAACGAAGAAAAGTTGTTCATGGGTTGGTCCTTGAGGACCATTCGACCCTCCGTGGGGGTTCAAATTGCAGTGAACGATTGCAAGAATAAGAAAGCGCCGATGAGGGTATGGCACTAGGCTCAGCGCTGCAACTACCCCCCCGTCAGCTTCGAAGAAGACTCTGACGATGAAACAAAACATGATTTTGAGAATCTATGCATTCACCTGTCTGAAGAGGGTACCTCGCAAGGGACTGATCTAGGCACCACATACCAAGGTTCGATTATCGGTAATACTAAGTACAACGAGGACCGAGTTAGTAACGGCCATATTAGCGAACCTTGATGGCTCGGTTGTGCGATCTTCTCTAGCCCCTGACAGCCGGAACCGTCACTCAGTTTCTCTTTCTCTTCTCGAGTAGGAATGACAAGTTTAGCCTGATGAATTCTTTGCACTGCAGTCATCATATTAGGGAGGTAGAACTGTCTTTGTCTGCTATTTGCCTACATGCAAGCTGTCGAATATTTCATGTTGATGAACTGACTACTGACAGGTACGTGATCTGCCCAGACGCCGACGCCCTTGGGCGCTCCTCACGGGCGCGTCTCTCGAAGGGCTTTCATAGGTAAAGCAACGACAATCGACTCTAACATCACCCAGACAAACTCAAAAACGAGCCGCGAACATCCAATGAGTTTTCACGAATCGACTACCCGAAAAGATAACCTACGATTAAACCACAAGCGCGTTACCCTCGACGAAAAACTTACGAACCCACCCGACATAGCACCAGCGAGCGAAGCCAAAGGTCTAAATCAACAAGACAAGATCACGAATCCGAACAAGAACTCTACATGAATTAAGCCTCAACTCTCACCGGGGAACTTCCCGCTTCCGAGCGGGGATCTCGGTGAGTTGTCAAATCTCCAGCGATCCGCCCCGCTTAGAAGCCTGCGACAAGGAATATGCTCGGAAGCGGTCGGCCAGCTGGGCAGACGGAGCAGCAAAAGATCCCGGTAGAATGCGAGTGAAGTGCCGATAGGGCTAGGATGGGGCCCGACGCGGAGTTGTGAATCGCATGTTCATCTGATCCGAGATCGCAAGTACCAGTGTGAGTTGGCGTTGATACAATTGCTTGCGACATCGCAATCCCGGGTAGGATCGGTAGAGGCCATTACAGAGCTCGACGCGAAAGCGAATCACAACCGCATCCAAGAGCTCAAGAGAAAGCGGAAGCTGTCTTCAGGATTCCAACAAGCCTAGTTAAGGCTCGACAAGTCTTCTTTCTCCACGCACCAGATCACCAAGTCGAGGCAAGGCTGATTGGCTGACAGGATATGCATCTCTATCCAAATTCGTCGAAACCTGCAGGGCACACGGCAGAAGGGAGGAAACACAGATGGTGACGTTCAATCAGAAGCGCCAAACGGATCAGCCAGCCCGGCGGCACGGGACGGGACGGCTCATGAGGTTGAGGTTGCCTTGTCTCTGTCCGCTGTGGTTACATGGACTTAACGCCCGCGTTGTGTTAGTGGTGCCACGATGTAAACGCATGCCCGCATGGTAGGATGCCTTGCCAGTTGCCATAGGTACTTGAAGCATGTCAGACGTAGACGTCGCACGGCGTCGTCCGTCGTGGCCATGTGAAATGCCTTTTGGAGGTGTTGTGGCGACATGGGGCTCCAAGAGTCAAAGACAATTCTGTGGCAAATATGTAGAGCTTGGTGACGTACGGCGAAAAGGTGGTTCGCGGACTGGCGATATTCTGCGTTGCGTGTTTTCATGCGGTGTAACGCGTTGGTCTACAGCATCATGTTTTGCCGTGGGTCCTTTGAGCAAGTCAAGAATTCCATCTAAGCTGTGCAACGACCTCGGTAGATAACACTATGCTTGTTTGAGTTTGTCAGGGTCCCATGTAGCCATTTTTGCCACAATTATCAGGCCTTCCAGTGTCTGATCACTTCGTTCTTCCTTCCAATAGGTATGATTGCATACAAAGTCGTTGAGGTTTCATGTTGATTTATGAGGTGTTGAATGACCTGATTAGATAATGAGTTGCAGGAGGACCCCGATAAACACTGCAATATTGAATATTACGATTGGTTTTCCGGCCACGATTATCAGCTTGCTCGTTGTTGAAGCACGTTGGAGAGGGGGGGGGGGGGGTTGAAGGTTACGTGTATTGTCAAGCCGCTGAAATATGTACCTTATTCACATGTCTTCGGTGATGGGGTCAAGAAGACACAGGGACCACTCCACAAAGTAAGGAATAACTCTCGATGGTCGCGATACATATTGATACCTCTTTAGCTAAGGCCAAGCAGACAGAATTCGCGACTTCCATTCATGTTGTTATCGATAGCGAAGAAGCGCTCTCAATGACGGAACCTACCGCTGAGGTAATGCCAAAGTCTTTGACTCCTTGAACAATAGAAGTCTCGTATCATTCAGTGCTCAATCATAATTAAACTGTTATTTGAGCTCTTTGGAGTGCGCAATCTAAATGGAGAGGAAGTTTCTATCACCTTCGTTTCTTACGAGCTCTTGTTCCTGCTTCACGCAGGGTAGGCTATGCAAATTATGCTACGGTGGACATCAGACCTGACTTATCACGCATTTCTGATTGACAAATATGTCAGAAGAAGGTTTCAAGTAATTAGCTCCCATTATTGTGAGACGTTTGTGTAGCTCGAATCTCTGTTAAGTAGTGAATGAAGTGAGGTGGTACAGGTAATTGACTGGTCAGTGAGGGTATGCTGAACTTTGACCCCTTTACTCTTCGCAATACCCATACTTATACAAGTACTCAGAGACTGACATTCAAACGAGCGTCATGATAGATACATGCAATTCTCATAGCTATACGCGGAATCTCCAGGAGTCATTCCCAGCGGGGAAAGGCTCCGCATCAATAATCAAAAGCCCCTTGACAGCTCGAGTCATTACCGGTGGCTGCGACGGCGTCGCCGAGATCACGGAGGTTCCAGCGAGGCTCTTTCGGCCGCGGTCCGGCTTATCACCGAAGAAGACCACTGCGCTTGAATTGACCGTGGGTCTGTTCCGTGGAGCAAGGCGAAGATAATTGCCATGTTCATCCGATCAGATTTCCGGGGTAGAATGGTGATGTCGACGGACGAGGTTGCGTTAGGCACTGCATTGACCACCATCTCCCATGTCTCCAAGAGAATTCAAACCTTCTTCGCCGTAACGATTGCCTAAATAGGCAAGAAGACTTAATCGCCATTAGGAGAACTGGTTTTTAACGTCACGTACGATCCTTTCTGGCCGAGCCAAGGCCGGATGAAAAACAATTTGGGTTTGTAATAGCAGCGTCGCGGTAGCAACTGCTCCATGGTAAAATGGTGGCAGCGATAATACAATTGAATCGATAAAATCGTAGAGACAACGCCATTATTCAGAGCCGGCTGGTCCTTGGTGACTGTCATGATCTTTCTTCTACAATCATCGGCTTTTTTACACGAACAAAGTCCATCGTACCAAAACAAGACACGAAATATGATGTCACCATCTTTAAATTACGCCGGCCTCTTCACCGTCTTTCTACAGACATGCCTTGCGCAGAATCACAGCATTGTCTCCATCCCATATGAGTTGACATATCTTCTTCCTTCACCGTTTCACGGCAATCTGCTTCACAGCTTTGTCAATGGAACCAATACGTCGGATGCTTCAACCAACGAACTCCTTCAATCTGCCACCAAAGCACCCTTCATCTCATATGATGACGAATTCCTAGCGCTCCTCGGCCAAAACCCAGCCATTGAGTTGATCGAGGAGCGCCCCGGCAACTTTGCGGGAGAAGCTGGCGTGTGGATTAGCGACCGGAATGAAGTCTGGTACACGACTTGGATCAATGACGGGCCTACCCACGTGGAAATTCTGGATTTGAACAATAACAGCATCAGAAACCTGACTTCTTCGAAGCCGTTGGAGAACCCGAACGGAGGATTCTACCACAAAGGTCTCATGTACTTCACTTGCTTGCGAGACGACTCTCGAGACTGGTCTGGCGGGGTCGTATCGGTCGACCCTGAGACCGGCCACGTCGAAACTGTGCTCAACTCCTACTTTGGTCTCAAGTTTGACAACATTGACGACGTGGCATGGGTCACGCAGCCGGGAACAAACAACTCGTACATGTTCATCACTATACTGCCTTTTGCCGAGGGCTCAAACACGACCGATCGCCTGCCTCAGGGTCTGTGGCGCTGGGATCCCCAGAATAGAGTCTTATTACCGGCTATCAGCAGGACCGAGTTTCCCGTCGCCAACGGCGTCCGGCCGTCGAGAGATCAAAGGACTCTTTGGGTCACCGACTTTGGCGGCGAAGAGCGAAGCAGAATTTGGGGGCTGCCGGCCCAAGTAGGAGCACCTGCGATCTATAGCTACGAGCTAGATGAAAATATGTGGCCTGTCAACAAGCGTATCTTTGGTGTCTCGAGAATGCAGGCCCCGGATGGCATCCGCATCGACGATAAGGGTAGAGTTTGGACGGGCGAGGGTGAAGGAGTTGTGGTTCGAAGTTCGCAAGGAAAGGTCATTGGTGTCTTCAATGGACAGTATTTCACGAGAGATCCTGTCAACACGGCGATCGTACAATTTGAGCTCGCCGGGGACGTTCTGGTTGTGCTGGGCCAGAATAAGTTGTGGACTGTCAAGTTAGCTGAGACGGCCTACAGCGCTTAGCAACTTGCATCAACTTGTACTTTAGAAAAGACCACGAACCCAGGGGATAACTTAAGGGCAAATCAATGAGACCCCATGGTACATTGAGATCCTAGGTATCATTCATAGGAACTAATAAATGGGTCGTGTACGTTCGTCCCTCGCTTTGTTGAAACCACCTTGTTTGCCGACTTGAATATTGTTTGCTTCAGCTCCGGATCAGTGTTGGTTACTCCAACTACTGGTTAAGAGTGCAAGACATATCTTGGTGGGTACAATGATGGAGAAAGGCATGGCCTGTGTTCGTGGGTTGCTTACCCTCCTGAAGGTTTGTCGCCTTGGTGATATGTCGTGACATTTCGGGCATTTGAATCATCACTCTCTTGACCTGGCACGCATCATACCTTGGCATACTCGGGCCTCAATTAAGGAATGCATGATCCGTTTTGACTTTTTCTAGCCCACGAGTCTAAAGTGTTGCTCAAAGTTCTTCTCATAACCTTACATTTAACCTTGTATCCTATTGAGCAGAAAATCCCACCATTTTGGAGCAAGTCCCCAAGCTCGCCTCGCAATTGCCCACAAACCTCCAATCCGAACATGGCCACCACATAATACTTCGACCTTTGAGTTGAGACAATTCTTACTGAGACTATGGCACTACTAATGTTAGTCCCGCGACGAACATGGTCCTTTTTCGAAGGTGCTGTAGTTAAGTGTGCAACAACCGGCGGAATGCCGTCTTTCCAACAACAGGTCGGACATGCGCAATACGAGGCCGGTGGGATAACTCTAAATCATGAGCTGCATATAAACACTGACTCGATCGATTAAGAATTGGGGACACTTTAATCTAGGATAGATTGAAGATGTTGCGAATTGATCGTGTTCATACTGCCTGTCCGAGTTGGCCTAACTATAAAGGCACGGATGAGAACCTGAGCTCAGCCAAGACTTTGGAACTTTCATCATTATCACCAAGCCGACGCCGTCACAGTCTATATCAATTGCAATCTCCATAATCGATCTCTCGTAAGTCGAACCACTAGTCGTACCTTGTTGGCCGGCTTTTCGTTGACAAGGTAATAGCCAGGATCCCAACCCAAAATGCACATCACGGGCTTCACCGCGGCTGTCGCTGCTATCTTCTTCGCCACCAGCGCCAGTGCCGCGTGCGCCACATCCTGGCCCGGATATACTTGCTCAGGGACTCAGTTGGCGTGTTGTATGGATATTAGCTATGGCGTCATGGACCAGAGCAATAAGGATGAGAATTGGAGATATGCTTGGACGCGGGCCAACTGCAATAACTGCAAGGCCTGAACCTCAGTACGGGACTTCACAGCGGGAAACTCATCTTACTTATCCAGTTAATAACCTAACTTCATCGTCAATCCACAAGACAAAAATACTTATAAGTTGAGCTGTGTTGTGGGGTCTATTAATACATGCTTGACTCGAGAAGAGGTCTAGATTGTAACTGAATGTCAAGGGGATTGATTTATTCAAAAGCACGTTTCGAGACTTCAAACACAAAATTTCCTTGAAAGAAGTCTAGTTGGTTTAATTGGACCGTTATTCCCTAGCTTTATGTACCATTGTGCGTGCATTCTGCAGCATCAACTTCAGTCTCCTCGAGCTGAAGTCTGGAGGATTAGCAAAGACCCACACGGCCAACCCCACCAGTGTCTTGCTGGTTTCAGAGGTTGGAGACGTCACAAACGAGAAGCCCACGCACGGAGAAACTTGAATTTTTGCGCGTCGGCTCCCATCCTTTCTAATGCTACTCGACATACTGTAGGGCCCATCACCGGTTCATACAGCAACGAGCTCGCGCTGCGAGAAAGTCGGAACGTCATAATAATCTGACCACGAGCCGCCAAGCGCGAAGCGCCGAGCCTCACCAAGAAGCGCCCAGCGCTGGGTGGTCCCAACGTCACCCAACAATCCTCGTCAGCCAAGTGCCCCCAAGAAAACACAAGAGACCAGGGACCCTATCACAATGTCTGAGCCAGAAAGTATTGACTTGGCCGACCCAGCGGTGGTCGTCACACCGGAATGCGTGCCCTGGGCTTCATCATTTTCCCAGTCGCCCCCTTTCGTCTCCACCCAGCGGAGAATGTCAACAACACTTGCTTCCTGCGCTTGGCGCCGAGGCCGCGCTGACACCGCCGTGAAATTCGGACTCCTCCGCTGAGCGTTGGCGGCGGAAAACCAACCTACTTCATGATTACTTTGTCCAATGATTGTCCTTTTACCCGCTGTCGACCCCGGATGCCTAGTCACTTGATTAAGACACTAAGACTCTTGTCATATCTCGTCACTCTAGGCAGTCCACTGTTTTCTCTTGGGCGAGTTTTGTATGTTGCCTGACTTGACGTTCTGCCGACTCTTTCCGTGGCTGTGAGCCCTCTCTTCCAGTGCTTCCTCTATGCATATTTCTCTGTTCATCCTTTTCCTAGGCCTGAAATGCGTTCATCAGAGGAGTGTGATCGATGCTTTTGTTTAGTCGTTCAGCAATCCCGACCAGCGTGCCCCATCTCCATGCGCAGGTTGGAACAGCTAAGTTGGCGTCCTGGAGCTGCCAAAGTTGAGAAATCTATCAGTGCCTTCAGGATCTACATGATATATATCCTTGAGCCTAACACTTCACTACGGGGCTCATGCCTCAACGACGTTACTGAAGCTGTGTTAGACGATGATTGTAGGAAATTTAAATCTTTCAGCATGTAACTTAGAGGAAAGACGCGTGGATGTTACCCACGGATAGTCAATCCAGAAACAATCAAGCTGCCAGATGTCTCCACGACAAGACTACTAGATTTGAGACACCTCCAACCAAGTAGCAGATGATGACAAAAGTCCTAGAAATCCGACGCTCTTCCCTGCAGAAACACAGATCCGCAGGTGAAATCTTCTATTTAAGAGATTCAGCTGTGCTTGGCCCGTCGCGTCTTCCCTGCAACCCAAGTTCTGACAGTACGTAGTACAACTCACGGTCGAAGTACATAGGTCTTGCTGTCCTCAGCTTGAGAATTTGGGACGCCCCAGCATTGAGAGCCACCATAACCCCCTACCACGATCTACAGAGCGTACTTGGCCCTGAATCAGAAGCGTTTTTAATCAGAAGCCATTCCAAAAGAATTCGGCCGCCCAAGATCTGCAGCCAAGTCGCTCCTTTTTGTTCCGCAGTTAAGTATGCCCCTGATTGACATACCACTCTTAAATACCCGGACTCTCGGCGCTGTAGAAGAATCACTTGCCCTTCCGCCGCTCACCAGACCACTCTTCATCAGCAGCGCTGAGCTACCGGGTGACCGTCATACCATAAGGAGTCCAGCGAGCGTTGTTGTCCATCGTCATTTCAAGTTTTTGCCCTCTGACTCCATTCTTTGCGGGATTTTCTTTGGTTCGATCAGACCGTCGTTTTAAATTTCTTTATCTTACTCTCGAGAACTCTTTGGCATCTCTTTTCTTTTCTTCTTTCCAAGCACCCTCATGCAAATATCGTATGAGCATCAGCTAAAGAGATCATCCCTATCCTCAAAGCCCTTGCTGGCCAAGGCAGCCTTTCTCGGCAAACGCACAACACACCTTCTGGGCACGTCACACAGAGATCACTCGCACATTGAGAGTGAAGCCACCAGCGTATAGCCAAGATGCCTACCTTTGATCCAAGCGAATTGAATGTCGTTCTCGCTGTCTTTGGTGCGTGCCCCGTACCTTACGTGTTTTGGCTATGACTAATCGGTATTTCCACCATGTACAGGCGCGTTCATCATTCTGTTTGGTATCATATCCGTCAAGATCAAAAATGTGTGGTACTTGGGTGAGGCCTGTAAGCTCATTCTTGAACATCCTTCGCGGTGTTGTCGCCGTAGATACGGAGCGTGATACTCAAGCTCCCAAGGATCATTCACTGACATGTTGTTCTCGATCAGTACCGGCCATAGTTTTGGGAATATGCCTGGGTCCCATAGCTGCTAGGTTCATCGATAGCGAGAGGTGGGGGTCAGCTGTTGAGGGGCAGACTCAAGATATCACTCTTGTAAGTGCCTATGATGCGGCCTCACTACGGTCTTGATTCAGGCAATGTGGAGTCTTGTGTTCAAATGCTGATGAATGGCTTGTCCCAGGGGCTCACAAGAGTGATGATTGGCATTCAACTGGTCATGGCCGGCTATCAACTCCCAGCAAAATATCAAAAGACCAAATGGAAGGAGATGGCCATCTTGATGTTACCCATTATGACACTGATGTGGTTGGCGACGACAGGCTGTATCCTGGCAACTATTCCCAAGTTGACATTTCTGGGTGCTGGGGTCATCGCCGCCTGCGTTACCTCGACGGATCCAGTCCTGTCACAGGCAGTTGCCAAGGGGCCTTTTGCCGATAAGTTCGTTAGGCGCTCTTTGCGTGAAATCATCTCTTCTGAGAGTGGCGCAAATGACGGATTCGGGTTCCCGATATTGATGCTGACGACGTATCTTATCCGGCACACGGAGGGATCTGAGGTGCACGCAGATGACTCCACATTGCACGCAGTCGGTCGCGCGCTTCTTCCTAGAGCGGGTGACGTTGCCCGCCAAGGCGGAGGCGTTAGTGTCGCTCTGCTGAATTGGCTGCTGGAGACCTGGCTTTACTTCGTGCTCATGAGTATAGTCTACGGAATCATCGTGGGAACCCTGATTAGGCTTGCTCTGAAATACTCTGTCAGAAAGTACGTTGATCGGTCACTAAGTACAATTCCGGAGGTCTCTAACAGACACAGGAAGTGGATCGATTCCGAAAGCTACGTGCTCGTGCCAACGGCGATTGGCGTAAGTCACCAATATTGAGCGAAAAGAAGTTGACTGACAACTTATAGCTCTTCATGATGGGTACTTCAGGAGCCATCGGAACCGATGATCTGCTAGCTTGCTTCGTTGCTGGCAGTGCACTCAACTGGGACGGCGAGTACCTTGCGGAGGCACAGAAGCGACACGACGAAGTCAACGCCAGCATTGACGTTCTTCTCAATTTTGGCGGCTTCATCTACCTTGGAACCATCATTCCGTGGGGCGACTTCAGCTCCGACATCACCGGCATCAGCCTTGGTCGGCTCTTTGCCCTCGGTGCACTTGTTCTCGTATTCCGCCGCATCCCCGCTGTGCTTCTCACGTACAAGCTCATGCCAAACACCATCAAAGACTGGAAGGAAGCCTTGTTTATGGGTTACTTTGGACCTATTGGCGTTGGTGCTGCCTTCTATGTCGAGCATGCGCGTCATCTCTTCCCTAAACTTGCCGAAGCCGAAGGCGACAGCGAGGTAGTTGACATGCTTCGGGCTATTGGTCCCGTTGTGTATTGGCTTGTACTCTTCTCGATTATAGTCCACGGAGTTTCCATACCTATCCTCAATGTCATATACGGATTCATGGGGGTTCAACCGGTCCAGGAAGATGCCGTGGCAATTCGACGCCGGTCTGTTCGCGTCCCTCCGCCATCGAACGCGGTTGAGGGCGACAAGGAGACCTTCATCGTCTTCAACCGTTTCTCTCGGCCGAATTTATCGCAGGAAACACTGTCGTATATGGAGGATAACGACTCATCTGTCGGAGATGAAAAGGTTCTACACCCAGACCTCGAGTCCGGCCTCCAGGAAGCTAGGCAAAATGCAGAGTTATCACCACGAAGGAGCTTCAATCTCCCACGTCTGAATGGACCTCGCAGCTTCAGTCTACCTCGGACAAGTATGAGTCAACTGAAATGGGATCAACCACATGTCACGCAGGGCTAGAATTTGATATCTTGCTGCCTTTGGGATTTGCTAGTAGAGAGAATATCAGAGGCAAGACGCTAAGCGATTCCTCGTGTTACCAGATAAGGCACTTGTACGGTATTTAATAAGAAATTTTCACCGCCAATGAAAACGTCTTGAGTGATGCTTTACAGCGAACGAACCTCCTTGAATACCTTTTGACAACACTTAGAGCAATTCAACCGGGGACTGAGGCGATTGCGATCATGGTTCATCTGGAAAACTGGAAATGCCCGATTTACACACAAGAACTGCCAATTATCTGGCCCTCCCTCCAACAGTAGAGTGGAATTCCCAGGGATGTTACCCTTGAACAGAAGGCTACGAATCCTTGCGGCTCCGAGCGCCGACGTCTACATCGAATCTAGCTGCGTTATCCCGTCCGGATATAAGTGGACTATCGGGCCAAGCTGAACGGGCCGAGCATCCGCTGGCCGGGCCAGGGCGACGGCAATGGCTTGGATGAAGCACTCCGATGGTTTGCTCGAAGAATGACGTTCTTTGAGTCAAATGGCTTTGGAAAGATCAGGATGAATGCATGTAACGTTCACACATCTGACCCAGACTCGTGATGCATTGCATCCATCATCAGACCAACCCGCAGGTAACCATCAGACAGGCCGTTCTGTGCATGCCTTACCGCTGCTTTTCCCTCATCAAAAAAACGATAAAACTCATGGATAAAGATTCCCACATCCAGAATAACAGAGATCAGCAAGTACGAGCCTTGAAATGCCGGACGTTGGGGTCGGATTACCAGGGCGTCATGCGGGCAGAAGACGTAATTGATGCGGGGAATGGACGCTACAGGGGACGATCCGGGGCTTTACCCCGCTGGACTTGGCGCATGTCATTCGTTGACAGTGGTTGCGACCCCCTGAGCTCACTCATCTGATGCAATGTTGGGTTTCACAGAAATAACACTCGTCGATGAGCTCTACTTCATATTTGAGAGATACCTGTACCTTTGGAGCCCATGGACCATTCCTCTCTGGTGCTTTGATAGACGCCACAGACTCACCAGCTTGTCTTGGTCCACTCTTGTTCGTACGAAGCCCTAGTTGTACTTCCAGAAGCGTCTGTTCGCGTGTACCGAAGCTCGCACTCCTCCCATCCATCCCTTAATTGGGTTTCGAGGCCTTAGCACGCATCCATCATGCGTGGCTTGGCAGTCTTCGCATCGTCAGCCGCAAGGCTACCGGTAGTCCTTGGGCTCGAGACTACTCGATTCTCGGCGGCCACCCTTCATGCCGAATCTAAGCCAGATACCCCGAGTGCCAGTGACTGGGCGGAGAAGGCGGAGAAGGAGGGTCGGAGCCTCTGCATACTCGAGCCGGACGCTAACGGCGGAGACGACGCGCCGGCGCTGCTGAGCGCGCTCAACGACAAGTGCCGAACCAAGAGCATCATTGTGCTTGATGGACCGGTCTACAACATCAAGTCGCCGATGGTCACCACCAGCCTAGACGATGTGGTGATTGATCAGCGTGGGAAACTACTCTGGAGCAATGACACGACGTACTGGCTCTCGGTCTCGATGCCTGTGGACTTCCAGAACCAGAGCACTGTATGGCACTTTGGAGGTGATGGCGTGGTTTGGGAAGGCCACGGAGTCGGAACGCTCGATGGTAATGGCCAGGTCTGGTATGACCTCAATGCCGGCGGATCCAACATGCCTCATCGCCCGATGAACATCAACTTTCGAGACTTCTCGAACTCGACTGTCAAAGGTCTCCGGTTCGTGCAGAGCCAAATGTGGACGATGAACATAATGCACTCCAAAAATCTTGTCTTCGAGGACATATATGTGAACAGCACCTCGTCTTCGGAGAACAACTCTCTCAACACGGACGGCGCTGACACCATGTACTCGGACAACATCACCTTCCGCCGGTGGGTTGTTGTCAACGGCGACGACGCAATCGCTCTCAAGGCCAACTCCAGCAATATCTACATTTACGACAGCGAGTTCTTCGGCAGCACTGGCATAGCCATGGGATCCATCGGCCAGTTCATCGGGCAATTCGAGTATATCGAGAACTTCTTGGCGCGAAACGTGACTTTACACGACACCCTGCGGGGCTGCTACTTCAAGACGTGGACCGGCATCCAGATTGGGTATCCGCCCAATGGCGGCGGCGGCGGTACGGGATACGCGCGTAACATCGTGCTAGAGGATATTAAGCTCGACGGCACCCGCGGAGAACCACTTTTCATCACTCAATGTGAGTCCTTCTCCGGACACGCGGGTGAGTCCTGCGATACGTCGACGTTTAAGATTTCCGACGTCGTCTGGAAGGACTTTAGCGGAACGATGATGGACGACGTGCCTAGCTCGGGCTTCTTCCGGTGCAGCGCGGCTGCGGGCGGGTGCAACAACCTGACGGTAGAGAACTTTTCCGTAAAGCCCGTCGGCCAAGATACTGTGTTGGATAAATGGCTCTGTAAAAACGTTGAAGGCGATGAAGGATTCGACTGCCAGAAAATTGAGGAGAGCGCCGATGAGCTCTGAATATCATTTCAGTAGTCGGCGACTACAATGATCCGGCGTATCCGGGACTTTTGGCGGTATAATAGGCAATCAAAACTTGGCACACTCGGCGGCATAATGTCGCGGAGGCCATCACCGTTAGCGTTGAACTTGACCGCAATTTTCTAATCAGCGGCCGCTTAGTACGGTATGCTTTGATCTAAGTGGACACAGACCGTTGCCAAGAGTTTTATCAGAAGGTTGTGGTGATTGCTTTAAAGGGCTACGAAGTCCGCCACGGGTCTCTACATGGCTGCGGCATTCCTGGCAAAGAGCCTCGGCCGAAGCCGGGGACTTTGAACTCCGTACGCCGATGTTTTGGTCCTAAATTTCCAACGGCCTCCAACGGCCCAATGGAGGATCGAATCTTCCCGCAAAACACTAAACAGTCCGATGTCCGATGTTCATGTTCTTATTCGGGCACAGGTCTAGCCATGTCTGTGCAGTTCGCCTCCGACCTACTGGGGCTTGTTAGAGCATTGGTCTGCTGTTATGGTCCTGAGGCTTCCTCGCAGATTCATCCAGCCGTCACCACGATGCGTGTCCCAAAGCAGTAATTGACGTGCAGATGGTGATTTTCTAAACGCCCAGACTTGCCAGGCATGGTGTTTCTCACATCAGCAGCTCCTTCACCGTCACTATACTACTTGACGGTACAACAGTCGTCCCGGCACTGGTCTTGTCAAATGCTTGAACGTGGTGTGCTGTGCCAGCTAGCGCCAAGGGTGGCTGCGTATCAAGCTTCTGATCTTAGCTGCCGATCCTGCAGCTTATTCCCAGCGAGCCTTGTTCGTCTATCGACCCTGGCACAGTCGCAAGCTAACCATGTCAGAAGAGAGTATTGACGGGCATGGCAGCTCGAGGCGAAAGCTAGATCATGATGGCAAAGCCTGCTTCATTTGAGTGTTGGTAGCGGGGAGTTAGCGGGAGCGGAAGTTTTTCTCCTATACTGGCTGTTCTTCAACGCTCGGACGCGTCTTTGAGCTGATGTTGATGTGGGCAGTGGGAACAGCAAAACATGCGACAAGCTGCATGCTTCCGTGCGAACCTCCTATTCTTGGAAGAGCTTTGAATCAAGTATTCAAGGCATGACTCGACCGCGGTAAGATGTACCAAATATCGATTGAGTTCGTGTCTCGATCATGACAGTTCCAAGGCTCTCCTAAAGTGTACCAGTCCCACGCAGCTTCGAACACTTGGCTAGAGGACCGGGTCCACAATCCCGCGCAAAGCATCCGCAATTAGATGGAGCCAGGAGAAGGGCGCTCTGTTGATTTCCATACTCTAAATTTGATGGCAAGACTTTTTCTCGGGGACGACTTGGCGCCCGAGTTCTTACCCCTGACGCTGATTCCGGTTGTTCCGGCTGCCGAGAAAAACCACGGGAGGTGAACCCCGTCATTCGCGACTCCTAAGTTTCCTTATGTGCACGCGAGTGGGTAGAGTCCGACTCGAAATGATTGGATGATCCACCAGAAAAGGAACTCCCACATCCCTTTTTCGACGTTCTACCCACCGTCAGTTCATGGCTGGACTATTGTGATTCAGCGTGGAGACCGGGCGACTACGAGCAAGGAGGCTCTAATGAAAACTGGGCTTTTGGGCTTACGTTCTGCTGTACGTTGCCGGGCGCAATCACACACGCGTCAAGGAGGGCTTGGGTCGCGTGCCCTCCTTCCTGCGCCGAGCCATTCTCTTGCTCTGTGCTTGGCTGGGGTGATACCGTAATGGATCATGGATGGATGGTGGACATATGGGATGGGGTGTGGGACGTCAGGTCGTCGTGTCTCCAGTCCCGCTCCGCCCTCCCTCTTTCGACGTTCGACGCCCCCAACTCTCCTATCAGATGGCTCCGTGCGGTGACACCCACACGTGTGGTCCTACTCCTGCTCAACTTTCAAGGCTGGGCGGAATTCCCAATGCCTGGGGCGCCGATCTGACAACAATGCTTGGCCACAGAATGCTGCGGTTGGACTTGGTACACCTTCCGCCCGTTGTGGGTTTGTCCCGGTGAAGCGGGCTCTGGAGCATTGTGCCTAGGATGCTTATTAGTCTTGTCTTCCCTCTCTTCTATTTCTCCATGTGAAAGGATTTCTGGTGGATTTGGCCTTTTCATTGTAATATCTTCTCGTCACTCACTCCTTTCTTCTCTGTTTTGGGGGAGCTAAAGTTGTTCACTCATTCTGCTTTCTCGTCGGGACAGCCCTGTCCTACTACATCTTTCACTTACTCAATACCCAACAAGATTTCAGTTATCTCTGTTTAGCCTATTATGGCTTCGTCACTTGGCGCTTTGAGAAATGTGGTTGAACCAGCTTGTAAGTCCATCTCGCCCCACTGGCTCAGGGCTTCTCTCTACGCTGAGACGGTGTCCCTTTACCTTCATAAGTCCATTCCTCGCCTAACACCTTTTGCTCTTCTAGTCATCGTCTTTGCCTTCACCATAGGCACTCTCATCAATCGCCGCCGACTGGATCGCGACGATGACGTAGACTCGTGTGAGCGTGGGTCGGAGGATTCCTCCTCCCGCCCCACCTCTCCGCTCCTCAAGCCGGGGATGCGCGCGGAGTCTGGCGAGGTATCCCGCATCAACAGCAAACTTCTCGTTCGATTTTACAACACCTTCCCTTTCCTTGCTGAAATCTGGTATTGGAATGCGACATATTGGTATGAGATGATCTGTTCTGCATCGATACTCCATGTTGCCTTTTGGGGACCGAGGCTGACTTGCTTGTTCGCCTCTAGGATATACCAACTGCTTCGTGCCTTCTCGGCACGCATGATTGCCGGTAATGAAGCAGTATTTGCGAGAGCCCGCGACCATGCGATTTCCATCCTCAAGTTCGAGCACTTTTTTGGCATTGACGTCGAACTTGGCGTGCAGAAATATGTCCTCACCAACATGCCCTGGTTGATGTCCTACCTGGCCAAGATCTACTATTTTCACATCAGCCTAGGCATCATCTTCATTATATACTGCTATACTTTTCTTCCGCCGAGCACGTTCCAGAGAATCCGACGAACTATTGCCATGGATAACGCCATCGCCTTCGTCATCGTCACGACCTACCGTTGCATGCCGCCGCGCATGCTCCCCGCCGAGTACGGATTCGAAGATGTGCTCCACGGAGCCAAGGGAGGAGGCAACGCGTGGACGCACAACAAGTTCCAGCTGACGATCGCCGCGATGCCGAGTCTTCACTGCGGTACCGCTCTTTTCCTCGCCTGGAGTATCTGCCGGTTCTCGCCTCACCGTCCCCTTCGTCTTATTGCACCTCTGTGGCCGATGGCTATGCTCTTCACGATCGTCGCAACGGCGAATCACTTTATCTTAGATGCAATGATTGGTGCGATGGTCCCTGTCATTGGATGGAGGTTCAACCGGGCTGTTTTGGTGTTGCTACCGCTGCAGAATCGGGTGTTGGAGGGACTGGGGTTGAAGACCCCTGAGGACGAGGACAATACTCCAGCATATGTCCCGAAAGAGTGGTAAGAGACAGCATGTGCTGATGAAAAAGAATTGATTGGGACATAAAGCGACATGATAATATAAATAGACAAGTGCGCTAACAATGGATTACTTTGAATATATGATCGGACTGGATATCGCGGCCAGACTCCTCCTGTGTAACCCCTTGAGAGTTCATAGGCACATCTGAGTCCTAGTACTCGTATTCTTACAGTGAGGTATGTCGAGGACATCGAGCCACGATCCCCTCACTTACGCATCTGTCAAGACAACGAAGAAGCCCACTGGGCAACCATCTTTGCTCTGCTGGAACATAAAAGTGGTGTCCGGCGAGCAAAGACTTCCTGATACGGTCACACTTCCCGGTACCTCAGCTGGAATGCCGCACGGGGCACTGTTGACAATCTGCAGGCACTACTATCAGCAATCTCTACGGACGATGACCTAAGTCCAATTCTGTTGACGTTCGGTACTCACATAGCTATGACCTGGTGTCATCGTGGGCGGAGGGTTAGGCGGGCTAGGGCCGGGGGCAGGCTGCTTGTTATATGTGGTCTGCCCAGCAACGGCTCCGACGCCAATGGCATACCCGGTGAACTTGAAGGTACCTTGGCCAAGGAAAACGAACTTTCCAGGCGCCTGCTCCCAAGAAGGGAAGTCGAAGACGAGGTTGCAGACCTTGCCCTGGGTCTGGGCGACGGGTAAATCGAGGTTGAAGACGGTACAAATGTCCTTGGGCGTCACCTGTGCCCATTGCGTCGCCGGGAAGGCATAGTTGGGCAGGTTCTTGGAGATAGGGACTAGAAGACTGGTCGAAACGTAGGATTTGCCGAGGCTGCCATCAGGCTGGGCAGCGTTGACGGGGCAGCTGGCCTTGCCGCCACGTTTGCTGATGGAAGTGATGGCGCTGGGTGCGGCGACGACAGAGAGGGCGAAGGTGAGGGCGCCGGTGATAGTAGCAATCTTCATGATGGCGGTTGTATTGCAATTAAGTGCTTTAACGAATGACGATTGATGTTATATGAGGTAATGGTTGAGACGAGGGGCTTGATGACGTTGAAGACCTGGAGTACGCGACAATGAGCATATGAGCAAAACCTTCTTGGCACAGAAATGAAAAAGAGGCCTTCATATACGTCGAGTTGGCTCTGCTGGAAGGCTAACTACGTGATGATCCCGGACTATAGCTTGGACGTAGCAACCGTCATTGCTCGATGAAGTTTAGTTTCCTTCCACCTCAAAGAAGCTTTCGACGTGGAGCGCCTTCGACCCCAAGCTCGCGTGCTTTGAATTGCGATGTTCTAGCGCCGTCACGAGCGGCTAGCGATGGATCGGCGCTTCATCTTTTTAGACAGTCCTGAAAGGGGGAATAGAGTTTTACCGTTGGATCACCAGTGCTTGACTTTCTTCTTTTCCTTTACGATCGCCGTTGTGGCTTCCCATGGCTTCCTGAAGTGGCGCATTTTGGCGCCGGCCACGAGATTTCAGCTCCGTGCCTGAGCGCGGAACCGCGGCACAGATGGACTCAAATGTTGGCCATCGTCAGCGCTAGATCTCACAGCATCCACTCAGTGAAATGATATGTTTCTCTCGGTGCCCTCTCAGGCCCGCGGGTTGCGCTAGTTTGTCCGAATCCTACACCGTGGTGGCGTCGCGGCGGGTTGTCATGTCGAGGTTGGTGAATGAAGTCGTCGTCCAGCAACGCACGGTCAAAATACAATGATGAGGAATCAGAGAGTTGCGTTGCGCGCTGGGGACATTGTGATTTCAATTATCCAGAGAGACGTCAACTTGTCTCATTCAATGCCTGGTACATATTCGCAGCTGAGACTTTTCCGTTAGGGTAGTTTGTCTTCTTTACTCCCGGGTGCTGGCCTTGCTAAGCTTCCTCTTGGCCACACTGCTACTATCACCGACGTCCTTTCCCAAATCACTCTTTGAATTTTGGCCATCAATGATGACATTGTTCGAGTAGACAACCCCATCAAAGATTTCATCCATCTCCTCCAAGGTCCTGCCCTTGGTTTCGACAAACAGCCAAGTAACCACAAACAGTATTCCAAGATTCCAACCACCGTTGATGGCATAGTATCTCCAAGAGATCCTTTCGATGGCGAGAGGAGTGGTGTAAAGGTTGAGGAAGCTGAATGCATACCCGATTGCTTGAGCAACTACAACTCCTTTAGCGCGCTGAGAGTATCGTAGCACCTCAGGAGGGTAAGTGTAGGCCAAGATGCTCCTGCACGAATTTTAGTAAAGTTGAGGGAATCGAGTGTTCATTCACGTACCAGCTTGCCGCAACTGCAAGTAGGAACAGTGCAACAACGACAATCGCACCGATAGCATACGCATTTGTCTCGGGATGGACCTCGGTCAGATAAGACAGACCGGCCAGAATTCCAAACAGTACAACTGTGGCGGAAGTTCCGGTAACTAAGTAGAAAGACAAGGAGGTCAGATCAATCCAACGGAAAACCCATATCGAGGGGCATCTACTCAACGGTTTGCGAGCTCCTATCTTGTCGATAAGAAGAACACCGCCCACACTACAAAAAGCCTTCCACAGCAGCAAACCAATGTTGATTTGGATTACAGACTTCCTCTCGGAAACTCCTAGTTTCCCAATCAGGAAGGAAGAGAAATATCTAGAAGATTTCCGTTAGCGCTAGAACATTCAGCACGTGAGTGTGTCCTTTCAACATACAAGATCATATTTCCGCCCAAAATTTGATAGAAGATATTCGTTAATACAGCGATTGTGAACCGTTTCAAGTTTGGAGCTGTTATAATTCCCCATCAGTTAGTTATCAACTCGACGACTCATGTTGGCTGAAGCTGGCTCACATGGCGCAATGAGATCTTTCCACCCTCCATTGCTCTCCTTCTCGTGGTTCAGTGCCGAGATGATTTCTTGTGTCTCTGAAAGCACTAGAGCATCTTCGCGGTTACCGTTCGCATGTAATCGAGCGAGCACCCCTATCGCCTTAGGAAATTTTCAGTCGAATGATCCTAAGCCAGGAGTATGTTTTACATTGTTACCTCGTCATGGCGGCCTTTGGAAAACAGCCAGCGTGGGCTTTCGTCGACGAATGGCAAGAGAGATAGGGATATGATAGAAGGCACCGCTTCTCCCTGATTAAGAGACATTAGATAGAGCCTTGATTTTGTCTGTAGGGAATAGACACTCACAAGCATAAGCCCTCTCCATGCCCAGTCGGACTGCTTGTCATAGATACCCAGGACAATGCAACTGACCAAGAATGACGTGAAAGGTACGGATGTCAAGACGGTACTTGAAAGAATTGAGCTATACTTCGGCGCCGCCACCTCCATAACCCACATGGGAGCGATGGAACCATTGATGAGGGAGGCAAATCCGATAATGAAGCGGCCGACGATGAGCTGTGGAACTGCGTTGCTGATGAGTGGTTGTACTTGCAAAACGTTAACGTGGGAAGTCTCACCCTTCGAGGCCGAAGCTTGAAGTACAACTCCGAGAATGATACAGATGGAGCCAACAGCGAGGCCGGTCTTTCGTCCCCAACGATCAACGACGGGACCCACTATCGGTGCGCCGAAGATCGAACCGGCACTAATGATGGCAACATTCAGTCCAATCATATCGCTATTCAACTTGAAGTCTATTGGAAGCTGTTAGCTATAGAAACCGAGTCGGGCAGATAATCGCACAATCTTGATAAGGCTTAACCGAGTTCAAGTTGTTGATCATCCCAGCATCGTAAGAAAGAATGCAGATGTTCAACATGGCCACGAGGACCATGAGCACGTGTGAGATGATAGGCCCGGGGGTCAACAAAGCCATGATGGCGAACGGTTCAGGATGCAGAGAACTATTTTCTGCTGGTGATACAGTGGGAGTCTGAGTTTGAGGCTCAACTGTCACCGTAGATTGGCAGTCTGGTGTACCCAAGTGTTGGTTGTGGTGATTTGGAGAATCTAAAGTCAATGTAGCAGTTGTCAACTCATTCGCAGACAACTCAAAAATTTCTTCTTGACGTTGATCTGAGCGCTGAGCCGGCCACCTGCGCATTTTTCTCTTTTTTCAAGGTACGCGTCAGAGACACCACACACTCTCTTGCTACACACCATGAAGCGATAGATAAGACATTCCGGGTTAGATCAACGAACCCACGAGTGTCCGGTGATAGGGGTGCACCTGAACCAAACGCCGTAGATTCAGAGACAGCGCGCTGTCTGGCTGTGTGCGTGCTGAGTTGTGCGGCATGCTCATAGCTGAGCGGCGTATTTCCCGAGAGTGCCGAGCTTTAGGCGCTAGCTTCGGCCGAATGCCTCAGGCTAACATTGTAGTTCCCCCCTTCTCCCCTTTATGATCGCATAATGGGAATTCCCAAGGGCCCTCAATTGTACAGTACGTGTCACGAATTCCCGTACAGATGTGCATCCGCCACTAGGTTTCCGTCTCCGGCGTTACGACTGCGCTATCCGTACACGCCAGCAGTGTCTCGATCGGCTTTCAGGTTCCAGAGCCCAAGTATGATGGTTTGCCGACGCAGGCAGGAATCAGTTTGAGAGTTCTGATTCGCATGGTACGTGGCATGGTAGAGACGGAATGCCAGCCGAGAAAGCATTTCCAGTTCAGCTGGGCGCTGAAAATTCGGCAGATGTAATTTGCAGGGAGTGTACGGAGTCCCTGCACCCAACCACAACATCTCGATATTCGTGTATGGAGTAATATTGCAAGCAACATGACATCGCGATAGACTCACTGCAACGTAAATCTCTGAGAACTCATGCCAGGCCAAGAAGCCAAGATCCGCCTATAGTCCTTTCCATACGCTCATGGTTTCATTGTCTACTTACCACACTCCTTCGCGTATGTGCATTTTACTAGTCCTTTCAGTCAATTCGCATGGCAGAACTGGAAAGTCCTTATGAGAGTAACCTTGGCCGTTCATTCTTAAACACAGCGAATGACATGTATTTTTCGAACGTAACTACTCGTTCCAAAACTGACACATCGAATCAATCTTCCAATATTTCTAAATCATGCATCTAGTACGCATGCCAATGCTATATACTCTAATAAGTTGGTCACATAACAACTCAAAGCAGTCTTGAGTGTGCAAGCCTCATCAAAAGTCCAATCACCAGTACCCACCCGGGGGCGGAGGCACAGCCACATCGTTAAGATGTCCCGTGACGCCGTTTTTGATGTCCTTAGCGACCTTGGGAAACTGCTCTTTGGCAAACTCCAAAGGGTCCCAGGGCTTCAGCTTGGGGAACCGTTTCTTGGCCCACTCTTCCGGGGCCGCCTCGATGTCATCCCAGGGAATCTTGTAGAATGCGTCTCTATTCTGTTGTCCGCTCTTGTGCACTGCATTGGACCGATGGTACCGGATCCGTTGTGCGGCTTCAAGTGCTAATTTGACGTCTCCGTTAGAAGACTGTAAACACTCAGCAACCGTCACGGCGTCTTCGAGAGCTTGAGAAGCGCCTTGTCCAGCAGTAGGAAGGTTGGCATGAGCAGCATCTCCGATGAGAATCGTGCGGCCACCTTTGCTAACCCAAGTGTCTATGGTTGGCCGATAGACCAGCTTGAAATCAATGGTCTTGTTCGAAGGTGTAACGTCGAGGAGGGCTTGTGCATCTCTCCCTGGGAAGAAACTCATCCACTTTGCTACATGTCCTCTCTCGGCGATATTGGACCAAGACTCAGATGATTCTTTGTCGTCCTATCAATGTGAGTCAGTAAGTAAGTTATCAAAATTATCTTGGGTAGACGCTGAAGCGCTCACCGGATGAACCAAAACCCAAGCAATGTCTTGAGCTTGGTTCCAAACAAAGGCCATTAGGCTCAAGTTGTCATACATCCAAAATCGAACAGTATCTCTATCCTCGTGGAAAAGATCCTTGATTCCGGGATGATTTCTCATCGTTTCGTCAGTCTTGAAGAAGCTTCTGAACACAGACCAGCCGCTCGTAGTGTCGTCAATCTTTTTGTCGTCAAGACGCAGAACCTGCGCTCGAGCGATGGATCGTGGGCCGTCTGCGGCGATGACACAGTCGGCCCAGATAGTCTCGCCAGTGCTGAGCTTTACACCTGCTTGGCCTTCTTCTTCAAGGTAATCCGTGACTGAGACGCCGATCCTAATGTCCTGGACACAGGTCTGCGCATAAGCGAGGAAGATCGAGTGAATCTTGCCTCGGTGGCCTGCATAAGTGATGTTGTGTTCTTTTCCATCCCTCGCCCACGGAACATCAACGATGAACTTGCTGTCGTACTTGTACAGCTCCATGGTGCGGATTTGACTACAACCTGTGTCGTGAATCTGCTGGCCAACCTTGCCCCCACCCCATCGATTGATGATACGGCCAGCATTGGGGAAGAAGTCAAGAATATCTGCCAAGGAGCACCACAGTGAGTTTCGTAGATCATTGCGACCAAAAGTCTGGCAAACAAAAAGAGGGGCTATTTTGTAATGCTTACCACCTTGGCTATTGGAGTCGGGATATTTCTCCAACACCGTGACGTCCATGCCACGGTGTGCACATTCGATTGCGGCTCCAAGCCCGCCGAAGCCGGCGCCAACAATGATGACTTTCAATTTCTTTCCGGCAGTCATTTTTATAGATTTGTGTAAAGTTAGTGTGAATAAAGCAAAGAGTACGATGCGTTGATGCTCCTTTCTGAGATAAGCTGACCAGTGGCTGCAGCTTCAGACTGAAATATAGGAAATCTCGAACAATGGACTGAAGGCGTTTGGTATCTTGGCACGAGGGAAAACCATTGGGAGCATCATGAATGATTGCAAACATGGAATGCCGCGGCACCCGAATTCCAGCGAACCATCCTTCCAACTCGGGGTCGCCAGCCGAAGGCCCGAGATGCCCGACATAACGCCTCTTACCCACCTTCGCCGTCTTACTAGACCCATTGCTCCAACGACATGGACCAACTGAACTGCAACTGATTCAAAGAAACCCAGATCGGAGTTAATTTCTTGGACTTGTGACAATCTTCTGAAAGCACATTTTGGAAAAGCACTCCATCGCCTCCTCATTGACATCACCCCCTGCTGTTGTTCACTACATCTATTCCTAGGCCGAGGGAAGTTTTCGCCAGACTCGAAAATGGGGGCCATTCAACAAGACCAAGAAAAGGTTGTGCGAGTGATTCAAGCCGCTCAGAATGGATCTAAACATGTTCCCAAGTTTGAGACTCTACAAGTCCATGCAGGGCAAACTCCTGACTCTGCAACGCTTGCACGCGGGGTCCCGATTTACTCAACCTACGTCTTCAACTTCCACAGCTCAGCCCATGCTGCCCGGCTATTCAACCTTGAGGAAGAGGGCGAAATAGCAACCCGCACGGGAAATCCAACTACAGCTGTGGTTGAACGTCGTGTCGCAGCCCTCGAAGGTGGTGTTGCGGCCGTTGCCGTTTCGTCAGGCCAGGCAGCTGTGTTCATGACTATGGTTGCTTTGGCTGGGCACGGTGAGAACATCGTAGCGACGAAGCATTACTATCACGGCGCATACAATCAATTCTCCTTTCTGCTACCAGAGCTCGGCGTAACATGCCGCGTTGTAGAAGAATCTGTGGAAGCAGTCCGAGCAGCGATCGATGAGCGCACCAAAGCCGTCTATATTGAAACTATTGGACACCCCAACTTCAATGTTCCGGACATCGAAGCCATTGCGCAAGTTGCCAATGAAAAGGGAGTGCCTCTTGTCGTCGAGAACACCGTCGGGTGCGCATACTTTTGCCAGCCCATAAAGCACGGAGCAGACATCGTCGTTGAGAGCATGAGCAAGTGGATCGGCGGTCACGGGAGTGCAACCGGCGGTATCATCGTCGATTCTGGCAACTTTGATTGGAGATCTTCAACTCGGTTCCCACAGTTCAACAAACCATGCCCTGGCTTCCATGGGTTGAACTTTTCAGAGCGATTTGGGAGAGAGGCCTTTATCATGCGTATTCGAGGGCAGATCCTCCGAGACGTTGGCTCCTGTCTTTCTCCTTTCAACAGCCAGCAGTTCGTGCTCGGGATCGAGACTCTGAGTTTGCGCTGCGAGCGACACGCTCAGAATACCATTGCTCTCGCGAACTGGCTTGAGAAACACGAAAATGTGGTGTGGGTTTCGTATCCTGGTCTTCCTAGTCACCCTCACTATAAGCTCGCGCAGAAGTATCTACCCCGTGGAGCTGGGGCGGTACTTATGTTTGGCATCAAGGGCGGAGAGGATGCTGGTGAGCAGCTGGTTGACAACTTAAAGATGATCTCGAATAACCCAGGGTAAGTGACAAATGCCATGACGTTGGCTCCCACCTGCTACTTTTGCTGATTTCTAGTCAGATATGGAGACGCGAAAACGACTGCCATGCACCCCTGGTCGACAACACATAAACCTATGCTACCACAGGAAAAGATCGATCTTGGCGTTGCGCCGGAAATGGTCAGGGTTTCAGTTGGCATCGAGCACATTGACGATATCATCCACGACATTGAACAGAGCATGAGCATCAGTCCCGCTGTCCCAAAAACATAGATTGGACAAAAGCTGGCGTCCCTATACATTCAATATGGAATATTTTGTTCGTGTTTCAGATTTTAGAATGCTAAGTGCCGTGTAGTACTTTTCAAACGTACAATCATCTGTCTTTGCCGGGTTTATAAGATTATATCTTGTTTATCTGCCCACGAGGTGCGATTGTCATCAAGCCGGTTCATATTCGCACTCTGCATGTTCAACGCACGAAATACTAGTATGAGTATCATCACTACAATAAACACAAGTATTTGAAGCTACATAACCTTCAACATTTGCTCTCTGGGATCTGTAGTCACCTGCGCAATGTCATCATCGAGGTCCTTCTCCCAAACCCAACTCATTCTGTTTCTCATGATCTCCTTGATCTTCCCAAGGTCGTCCCCCTCAGCTTCAAAGTGCCACAAGTAACCAGCTTCTCGGCTTGTAGCAACGAGCTTTTGCGTGCGCTCAACTCGAGCTCGACTGAAAGATTTGAAAACACCAAGCAGGTCTTGTGCTTGTCGGACATTGTAGAGGAGCCTTCCGAGAACATATGCATCCTCCACGGCCATACCCGCGCCGGCTCCTTGGAAGGGCGTTGAGGCGTGCGCAGCGTCTCCGAGAAGACAAATCCTGCCCTTGTGGTAATTCTCCATAGGCGAAAGATCGAAGAGCGCCCAAATATCTGATTGGCCCATGAGTCGAACAATGTTGAGTACATCCGGACCCCATGTGCTGAAACTCTGCAGCATCTGTTCTTTGGTTGCTGGAATAACCATCGTCTTGTGAGGCCATTCCTTTGATGACTGAAAGGCGACCACGTTCATCATTCTACCACCAGCAACGGGAAAGGTGAGCATGTGGCCATGGTACCCCAGATATGCTTGGCAGTTCTTCGCCTTCTCCTCGCCTAGAAGCTCCACAGCTTTGTTCATCGGAACCATTCCTCTATAGCAGTATTTACCAGTATAAGAGGGGTTGGTGGCGGAATGATCTTCTCCAAGCATGATGCGTCGGGTTTGACTCTTGATCCCGTCGCAACCAATGACGGCACTATGCCTCGCTGATGTCCCATCCCCAAACTTCAAAACGACACCATCGTCGCCAAGGTCGTCTATGTCGTGTAAAGTCTTGCTGAATTGCGCTATTCCATTTGGAAGGAGCTTGGCTATCTCATCAACAAGATGCGAGCGATTCACCATCCAGCTTCCTGGTTGGGGATGCTCCACAGAGCAGAGGTACGTCCCGGCAACGACACCACGGGCTCTGGCGGTCTCATTGGCGCTGTCCATCCCGACTCTAAAGTCGAACCAGATGTTTTCCTTGTCTGCGAAAATGTTTCTGTTCGCCCGAGCTTCAACCGCAGCCGCCAGTGGCTCCGATATCTTCGTAATTGCTCGTACTGCATTTGGTCCGAAGGCGACACCGGCTCCTATCTCGCCGAATTTCGGAGCATTCTCATACACAGTGACCGGGATCCTCGTGTGAGTTGTGATATATAGGGCCAGGCAGAGGCCACCGATACCACCGCCAACGATGGCCAGACTGAGGTCTTTGTCTGGTAACATTGGAAATCAAGCACGTAATCAATAAGCAAAGACAATGATGGGGCGTGGGGTAGATGTCAGGCTCAGAAGACAGATAACGCAGTGACTTAGATATGAGATACGAGCTGACACAGATGCATTATACTAGATAATAGAATCCGATAAGGTTTCTTGATGCTTCAGCTAGTGACCGAAGGCGTCTGGATCTAGGTGCTGTATTCTACCAACCATTCGTTTAGGCATTAGCCAGAATGGCCCTGTTGTGACCATGTCCTGTACAGTAAAGAATTCAAAACTAGTACCCGGGATCCGTTCTTGCCTGGAGATCTGGCAGAATGACCGAGAAACCGAGCCACTGTAAGCCGCCATAGCGCGTCGGCCGAAAACCCCGGAGCTCAATCACGCCTAAGGCATGTGACCGAGATGATACAATCTGCCAGGGTTGGGGAAGTAATTGGTCTTGACATAACGACTGGAAAGCCTCGAAGAGCCCAATAGACAAGATATGAATAACGTCTTTTCAATGTTCACTTGAACTTTAACTCACACCGTCGAAAGAACACAGCACAACTCAGTTGACCCAGCACAAGCCATTGCTATCACAGAAGCTATCTACAATGTCTGCTCATTTTGAGCTCTACTACCCAATCTTGAGAGACAAATTGCAGCAAAACCTTTTGGCAGTGGTGGGATGGACAATTCTTTGCGCATGCGCCTTCGGGGTGCTGCTTCTCTGGTCATTTGCAGTCGAGGTCAAAATGCCAAAACTTTCGATTGCATTGGAAGATGAGGTACCCGATCGACAGGAGCGGATTGATATCTTCATCAAAGACACAAGAAGGTTGTTCATCACAAGTTACAACAAAGTATGTTCAATTCCTTTGCGATTATGAATCGCAACAACGGGGCTTCAAGCTAATATTTCTGACAATAACAAGTTCCAAAATCGGGTATTTGGGATAAACACAACTGAAGGTTAGTTAATAATACTTGAGAAAAATCGCAAAATGTTCCCTGCCGTTGACCACATTTCAAAGGCACGAACATCATTATACCCCTCGAGCTACTCCACGGGTTGGGAAGCCACAAGTCCCTGAGTTTCGCTGCATTCCTCGAAGAAGAGGTACGTACCTGACATGAGATTTACCAAGTCTCGTAACAGTGAAGAAGTTATTTCTAACTCACTATTTATATTTCTTGGGACGATAGTTCAGTATGAAGAAGTACACTAAAGTTGGCAACCTCGATGAGAAACAAATTGCCATCGTAAATAAGAAGTTGAACCCAAGTCTCCGTAAACAGCCCCCAGGAGTTATTATCCCAAACCCCATCATGCATCTAACTCTTCACAGCGCAATATGTCCCAGTTCTTCTTAACTTGATACGCACTCAATGGCCACTCGAAATCTATGAAGGTAAGTCTCGAATCCTTGATTAACTCAGCCAAAGCGACCTAGCTCTCGGGTGCAGCTTGAAGACCTTTGGACTCCACTCAGGAATGCTTCCACCTTTGACAATACTTACTTTTTGAGTAGTTCCCACAGTCGTTAAACCATGGCCACACGTTATGCGTCAGGTTTCTCGTGTCTCCGCAAGACTATTCCACAGCGCCGAGTCGGCGGATAATGACCAATGGCTGGACATTGCCAGCGAGCATGTCCACTCTGCTGTCGTATGGACGGAAAATTTGAAGAAGTGGCCAGCAGCGCTGCGACCTTTTGTCTATCGATTTGTCAAGGGACGCGGAATCATGATGCAGCGCTTTGGCGAAGGCAAAGCTTTGGTGGCCAAGACTTTGCAAAGAAGAAGGCTGCTTGGAGGGAAGCCCCTGAGCAATCCTCCCGCACTGTTGGACTATCTTGCCGACACTGTTCTTGGTCCAGACGACGTGGAGGCACACACAGTTGCTCAAATCAACTTGTGCGTAGCCGCGATTCAATCTATGGCTGCAACAGTCACCCAGTGTCTCATGGATCTTGCGACTTACCCAGAGTACATTTCTGAGCTTCGTGATGAGATTGAAATAGTCCTGGCTCGAGGGAACGGTGTGCTCAGCAAGCAATCATTGACGGACATGATGAAGCTGGATAGTGTCATCAAGGAAACTCAGCGATTGAACCCGCCGGATCTGGGTACGTATAAGTCCAACACAACACTACGGCAATGAGAGGGCGTTTCAACTGACATCAACGAATCATGACAGCAAGCTTCCAGCGGAAGGTTATGTCGGACTTCACGTTATCGAACGGCCTTCGCATCCCGAAAGGCGCACGTATTGCCTTGCCGACTGGAGCCATCAACATGGACCAAGATCTGTTCCAGAATCCTGAGGTGTTTGATGGTTTGCGATTCTATCGAATGCGCGTCGCTACAGAAGAGGCCCGAAGTAGCAACCAAATGGTGACGGTAGGTAAAAAGGACCTAACATGGGGTTATGGCAGGCACGCTTGTCCAGGTCGATATGTTGCCGAGGTCGCCATGAAGCTGCTGCTGATAGAGTATATCACGCGCTATGATATACGGCTATCTGGGGATTTGAGGACGCGCCCAAAGAATATCGAGTTCGAGGGATTGGTGAGGGCAACACCTTGCTTCTACTATCGCAATATCAAAGGATTTCTAACGAGTGCAGGTCATTCCCGACCCCGACTGGGAGTTGTTGTTGACGAGTCGAGTTGCGAAAGAAGCTGCTACAAATCGAGCCAGCTGAGTGGTAGTGTTATCATAGAGCATATGCAGCCGTGACAGAGGATCTCAGGTAACTTTTGGGACATTCGGAATGGTAGATAGGTAGCATCATTTGCATTCATGTTTTGTCTTGCGTCGTTTCCAACTATTGCATGAATTCAACTATGTTGTCAATTTTCAGTCAGTATGCGCATAAAAATTCGTTTCGGTGTTAAAGCTGGGAAATGTAGTGACGGATGACAATCAACTAGGAAGTAAGACTAATCTACAAAAAGCTTCTATTGCATGGACACACCGCCTGTCACAAACATGTACTCGCCATTAATGAAACGTGATCGCTCCTCAGCTAAGAATGCAACTGCCCATGCGACATCTTCAACAGATGCCGCACCACCTTCCACCGGCGTGTCTCTGATGAAGACTTTTTTCAATCCTTCCCATTCCTCGGGCGAGAAGTGCTCCAGAAAGCTGTCCGTCAGTACTGGGCCTGGTGCAACCATGTTGACCGTGCAGCCGTATTTAGGTGGTAGTTCCTTCGCCCACACACGTAAGATTGCATCCAAAGCCCCTTTGGTCGCTGCGTAGATTCCTTGTGTCGGTTTCGGTACTCGGGAAGCCGCTGATCCCACCATGATGATGCGGGAGCCGCCAATGGCGCCGGACATGTTCGGAGGGTCGGCCGGTTTGTAAGGCGTGAGATGTGGTAGCGCTGCTTTGACCAATGCGAAGGCGCCGCGTGCATTCAGGTTCATCGCTTGATCCCACATGCTCAAGTCAGCGTCCCAGAGGTGTGCAATGGGCACATATCCGGCATTGCTCACGAGGATGTCGATGTGACCGAACCTCGCCACGGCTTGTCGCACCAATTCTTTTGGCCCGTCATCCGACGCGAGGTCGGCACAGACCGCGATCCAATCGCTTTGAAGTTTCGCTCCAGTAGCTTCGCATTCTTGCTTCAAAGAATCCCAAGGGTAGTTCAGAACGATATTTGCTCCACGGCTTGAGAGTTCCATTGCGATTCCAGCCCCAATGCCTTTTGACGAGCCTGACACGAGGGCTACCTTGTTGGTCATGGTTCCCCGTGATGCCATAGGCGCGTGAACTGGTGGTGACATGGTCGGCTCGGGCGTTGATTTTAGCGACGGTGTTTAGTAAGGCAAATTGAGACAAAGGGAGTTGTGGATCTAAGCTTCAAAAGCAAGGTTGCGAACAAGAAATTTGCGAATTTGATGGCTGTCAGAACCGCAGTGGAAGTAAGGAGGCCTCTAATCAGTAAGGTAAAGTAATCATTAATATGTGCGTCCCGCTGGTTTGAGACCCATACTTCAAACGAGTCTTCGGGATATGTGCACCGAGAGTGGCCGAAGGTAGACATCTCACCAAATCAACAGCCGGTTCGTAGTCGAGACAAGAACTTATCGAGCTCGAAAATTATCACATCTGTGAGTATATCTTCCAGTCCCAAGACCCATTGAATCCAAGCTGGTCAAAAAGCCTAATGTAAATGCTGCGCAACTAAGTCAAGTACCAATACACTTGCTTCTTTTCTGGAATTGCTCTTGACACTGATAAAACTGCCGTATTCTTCTTACTCTGGCCTAAGCTTCTCACGTATTCTCCGTAGCCTCCCTTCTCAGTGCTTTGTTTGTGCCGGGAAATCTATGCTTCAATCGGCATGGTAGGGAAATCCTTGAGTCCTGGCAGATCCTCGTATTTCTTCGTGAAAAAGGCACGAGGAATATCCGGTCCCCAGCTAGAGACCGTGGCAGCAACAGCTGGCTCATTGGCATTTGGAGAGTCTTCGTTCACGAGGTCGCCGTCGACGTAATGCTCGACAACAAATCCAGAGGGGTCAAACCTAGTCAGGGTTATTAGGGGTGCCACAATTAAGGAAACATTTGAAGCCAAGACTCTTACCAGTAATCAAAGATCTGGCTGCCGAGGACATGTCTTCCCACGCCAAAAACGTTGATATGCCCCTTGCGGATTAAATAGTGGTGGCCAACCACTTGGCTGTCAACATCATCTATCTCCCAGCTGCTGTGATGAGCCTTGATTCCCTCGGTGACCTCGGGCGAGCCAGCGATGAAAATATTCTGCATTTTCTATGTCAACTCACACCAAATCCCAGAGCATTCGAGAGAGCACTAACATGATGATCGACAAATTCCTTGCCTTTGTCGAGATGAATGAAGATCATGATTGTCTTATTATTCTGGGGGTGGAAAAGGCAATCGGTCTTTTTGAAGTTGAAAACCTTGCTATACCAGTCAAAGACCTCGTGCAGACGATCAATGTTCACCTCGAACCCGTAATGGCCGAGTTTGTGCACTTTCGATGGTTGGTCTCGATCCGGTCGCTGGAACTCGCCGAGCCTCTTCTTATCCTCCCAGGTATTCCACATTACCGGCTTGGGAACCTCCCTAGGCTCAGGGACGCGGTCTTCTTGGCCGTAAATCAAAGTGATCGGCTCTCCTAGGAGATCCTTGACGACGACTACTTTTCCCCCACCTGGAGCATCGTAGTCGGTGATCGGGGTAGATCCGGGGAGCTTCGCCGCCTTCTCGAGCTCAGCCATGGACTGCACGATCCAAGCGCCTCCCCTGAACTTCCTCTTCCCATCGTTCGTCTTTTCAGCAACGTAGCAAAATTGATCGATTCCGAAGCCTCGTAGGTAGATCTTATCCTCGGTCTCCCGCACAGGTACCAAACCAAAGTCGGTATAGAATTCCTTCGCTTTCTGAATGTCGGGGTGACCATAACGGACGTGAGAGAGGCGATCCAAAAGGATGCGAGAATCAGCCGAATGTTGGGCCATTGTGTAAAGAGGGTAGTGAGTTGACGATCAGTCCAGGAAGAAAAGCAACGAAGGGATGAATGTCGATGTAAAGGTTTGGCGATTACGCTTGATGAGAGAGAGCAGTAATCACTGGTACTTCCACGCTTCTTATTGACTTCGCTCTCCGAATCTCCGACTTGGGGTAAACTGAGCAGTGACTTAATTCCCGTGGTCTCGGTGTAAGTTGCCGAAAGCCAAATCCTTGGCCGGCCAATGCTTCCGGCACAGTCCACCACTGCGGTCAACGCGCTGCGAGACCAGACTGCGTCGGGGTAATGTCTTGCGTCTATGAAGATATAAGTTCATTCGACCGACGACACAATTGAATTTAAATCAGAGCAACTAGAAATCCCCCCCCCCCCCTCTTGCTTTCGGATCACTCATGAACAAATCAAAACCGGAAAATCGACAATCTTCATTCCAACAAGTTGCCATGTCATTTAACAGATTGATACGGTTTGAAGATGCGGAAGGCGTTGAGAGATACGGGAATATTGACAACGACATTCCGGCATCGGGGCTTCTCGGAAAGACAGTGCAAGTAATTTTGGGTACTCTGGAGTCTGGCTTCAATATATCTGATCAACAAGCCGTAGTCGGCAAAGTAGGATCATCCAATTTCGAACTGAAAATTACCCAGACTAACCTCATTTACATAGGTGTTGTGTCCGCTGCCAAACACACCCCTCATTATCTGCGCTGGGGTCAATTACAGGTCTCATGCAAGCGAAACAAAGGTGAGAGTGATGCACCGAGATGTGAAAGGCTTTCATGAAAGTGGAAGCACGCGCTGATGGTTACTTGCCAATTCAAAGTTCCAACCGCCCAAGAAGCCTGTAATCTTTGCGACCCCTCCCGACAGGCTCGCAGGACCGCTGGACGATATCAAAATTCACCCAGATGCCCAGGAGCTACTTGACTACGAGGGTGAACTAAGCGTTGTAATCGGCAAAGATGGATACGACATCAGCGAAGACGAGGCGCTGGATTACGTTCTTGGTTACACTGTGAGCAACGACGTTTCAGCGCGTAACCTTCACGCAATCGACGTCTCCGGGTATCAAATGGGATACGCAAAGTCTTTTGACGGATTCGGGCCCATTGGGCCCAGCCTAGTGTCCCCTAAGCTGATCCCCGACCCGCAAAATCTGAAACTGACGACCACTGTGAATGGAACCGTCCGTCAAAGCAGTGACACTTCTCAGATGATTTGGTCGTGCCGCCAGCTTATCTCATTCGCGTCTCGCGGTCGCACACTGCGTCGAGGAACTGTCATTATGACCGGAACGCCGGAGGGCGTAGGATGGCATACGAATGGCTGCCTGAGCGATGGTGATGTGGTTCAGGTCGAGATCGAGAAGCTGGGTCATATCAAGAACAAGATGGTCTTCCAAAAGAGCGACTGAAGTGCTTCCGTTACAAGCATTTCAGTCGAGAATATCCTCCAAGTTCCCGAGAGGCAGTCATCTTTTGGCGACCGCAGTGAGACGAGATGTAAACCCAAAGAATTTTGTCATATTCGAGTAATATTCGAGTGTCTCATGATTCGATATTCAGTGCAATTCTACTTGGCAATTCGTGACAGTGCGTTGCTTTAGTCGCCAAATGCATTCTCACTTTAGGTCATGCAACTTCTCATTTACTCGGGCCAAGTGTAAGGGACGGCGCTGTCACACCCTTAATTGTAGTGAAAAGGCGACAACAATTCATAATCCCATATATCCAAGGTTGATTCCTTTCCTTTACCTTTCCTTTGCTCTCGTCTGACGACTACCAAGACCGTGTTTGGCGCCGGAAATATATGCAGGGGTCACGACATGAAGTCTCTTTCTTTTTGTCATTGATAGCTAGCAGCGATCTCGACAAGGTTGCCATACCCCTGCTGGGTCCCACTTCGGCGCTGCGCTTCTTCTTTTGGTCGTCCTGATAATGCAATTGACAAGGTACCGGTCTTTTCGGGTTCCTCGGCCGAATTTGCCGGCCTCCTGTCGCTACCCCGCTCCGTGAGTCCGGGATCGGCTAAATGAATTATCCCTAAATGCATCTCCTTAAGAACTCCATCTCTAACGATGACATTGGATTTCCAGGACGGACGGATTTTTGTTGTTAGCTTGACCAATCATAACCGACACCCGATACGCGTCGCGCAATGACAACAAGCCAAGCTACGCCTCCAGCAACCGGCTCGATCCTGCTGAAAGGCGGCACCCTACTGTTTCACAATGAGCGAGATGATGTGACGCCTCTGAGGAATACCGACATACTTGTGCAAGGCAACCGTATTGCCAAGATTGGAAAAGCCATTGCACCCCCAGCAGGAGCTCAGCTCGTTGACTGCAGCGGCAAGATCATTAGCCCAGGCTTTGTTGACACCCATCATCACCTATGGCAGACCCAACTCAAAGGCTGCCACGCAGACCAATCGATCTTTGACTACATCCCTTCAGGTCAGTTGGTCTAGGTCTCTATCGACCTTCTCCACTAAACCATCAGAGCACCCTCGTTGACATGACTCAGGTTATTGGCAAAGCCATGTCTATTCTCCTAAAGACATGTTCTGGGGCCAGTTAGGTGGCGCACTAGAAGCAATCGATGCTGGAACAACTTTCGTACTTGATCATGCCCATGGCAATCAAACGAATGACCATGGTAGGACTATTTGAGAAAGTAGAGAAATTTATTGAAAGAATGACCCACTAACGAGACAAACTGAATAGCTACCCAAGCGCTATCAGCCACAATCGCTTCAGGCATTCGCTCAATTTTCGCCTACTCCCAGGCCCCATACTTCACAAAATGGGACTCTAAATCTTGCGAGCTATCAATGGACATCATGCCTGACTCGAGCATGGCGCATATCTTTGAGCTCGCAAAAGCACAGCCCTATGGAAATGGGAGGGTTCAGATCGGGTTCGGATTTGACTATTGGTTCCTCCCCAAAGAGGCTATCGTAGGCATTTTCAACGGACTTCGTCATGCTGGCATCAAGCTTTTTACCTCTCACTATGCGAAAAACCCAACCTTCGGTACGTATGCTAGCATTTAGGATAACTATCTTCCCGTTGATATGCAAAATTCTGACTGGAAGCCAGGAGCGAACCCCCTGATCCACACTCTAGATGCGTATGGCCTCATCAAGTCACCTAGTGACATCCTGCTGTCGCACGCCACAGGCCTTGATGCGAGCGAGAAAGCCAAACTGGCTGAAACCCAGGTTGCTGTGTCGAGCACTCCAGACACTGAAGCTCAGATGGGCTTCGGCTGGCCACTTGCCTTCTCATCAGGTATTAACTACACGATCGGTGTCGATTGCCACACAAATAACACATCCTCAATTCTGTCTCTCGCTCGATCGGCCTTGCAGATGGCGCGCCAACGTGAGGCACTTGCGGAGACAAATGAGGACGGTGCTCCTCAAAAACTGAATCTCCAGCCGGCGGGCAGCACCCAAGATGCTTTCAACGCAGCGACCATCAGAGGGGCGCGTGCGGTGCTTTTGGGGGACGAGATTGGGTCCTTACAGGAGGGAAAATTGGCCGACCTAGTCCTCTTCGATGCAGCCGGGAGTGTGACAATGAGTTGCGTTGCAGACTCGGATCCTCTGACTGCGGTTGTCCGTCACAGCGATATTCGAGATGTCGAGGCTGTTCTCATAGATGGAGTCTGGAGGAAGCAAGGAGGCAAATTCTGCCCAGTGACCGTTGCAGAGACTGGATCCACTTTGCAGTGGGCTGAAATCAGGGATAAGTTGCTTGAGAGCCAGCGGGAGATTCAACATCGACAGAAGAATTTGAATATGGAAAAGGCGAAGGAGGCTCTTGTTGCCATGTACCGGATCAACACAAGCAACTTGATCGAGAAGCCAAAAAGGACTTAGGACTTTAGCACATACTAGTAACTTAGGAGAAGGGCACTCGCTATATTTTTGTATGTTTTTGTAGCCTATGCCAGAGATAATCCATTGAATATCAAACCGCTCTTTCACATCTAGAGGTGACGCGCCGTGGCAGTGCCGAATATGCGGCGGGCAGATTACATCAAGCCGGCCGAAAGAGCGAGGGTGGCGCAACGACCCCGAGAGTCACGCAATGTAGGTAGCCTTCTCCCCGCAGAAAGTCTAACCTTGCTCAAAGTCGCGAGGAATATAAAATGAAACTGTCAGCTCCTTGACTTTGCTAGTTTGTTTGTCTTTGTGATCTCTCGCTGTACTCGTTTTACAATTACAAACTCAAGCTCTTTCACAAAGGCACAAAGATGGCTGTCTCAGAGAACAACGCAACCAAGACTATTGCTTTGGCTGGGGTGAGTCATGACATTATTTGATCAACGACGATCAATTCAAACCCGGAGCAATCAACTGATACGAAGAGCCGATTTGGTTAGGCGAGCGGCAACTTAGGTCTTCGTATCCTAGAATCTCTGCTCGATGCAGGGTTCGATGTGACGGTATTGATTCGCCGCGAAAGCGCCCCGATTGATTACCCCGTCAAAGCCCGAGTGGTGGAAGTCGACTATGATTCGTCCGAGTCACTTCAAAATGCTCTTGGAGGCATCGACGCCGTGGTTTCTGCCGTGGGCAAGCAGAATGGATTGCAGAGCCAGTTCAAACTCATCGATGCTGCGATCGCCGCTGGGGTAAAACGGTTCATCCCGTCGGAGTTCGGTGCGGATCTCCGGAACCCTAAGATTCGTGCCTTTCCGACCTACCGAACCAAGGTAGAGGTCGAAGATTACCTGGAGAAGAAAGTCCGGGACACCAAATTGACTTACACCTACGTCTATAACAGCGTTTTGTTTGACGAAGGCCTGTCACTCGGGGCATTCGCAAATTTCTCGACCCGGACAGTGAACATCTTCGATGGCGGGGACACAATCTTTTCTGCAACGAGGATCAAGACAGTCGCACTGGCTGTAGCTGCCATCCTTAAGAACCTTGACCCAACTAAGAACAAGGCAGTTCGCATCCGAGACCTCGCGATGACCCCAAATCAGCTGCTAGAAACCCTCAAAGCGTTGGATCAAGACCACGCTTGGAAGGCCGTTGTAGTCAACACCGAATTGCTCGTTAAGAACGCCGAACGTGAGCTAGCATCGGGCAAGTTCAGCCCAAAGGCATTCGCAGCATTTGCAATGAGAGCGACCTTTGCTCCAGAATATGCACAGGATTATAGTCGCGACAACGAGCTCTTGGGCATAACTCACATGACGAAGGAAGATATTCAAGGGGTCTTAGCTGCAAGACTGTGCTGATTCTACTTCTTTGGACTCAGGAAAAGTTTAGATATCTTAGTTGGAATTGAAGTCTTGAGACGCGAACTTTCCATGGCCGCGAAGAGGCTCGCTTGATGCTCTAAGTATGACTAAAATACAATTGGCCGTCTGCGTTCGTGAAATCGCACATATCGTCCATCTCCATGAGGGGCCCTATCATCTCATCTGCATGATACATCGCTGTGTCAAATATTCGCTCAGCGCTCCGGGGCATAGAAACTACACCCGACGGAGCATTGTCGCTTTGAACAAGATTAGTGCTTGCGTGTGGTCTCAAAACGCCCTTGGATGAGAACCGACTCCCTAATGTCGGATGTTTCCCAGCAGAGGATGCCGACGATGAGCGCCGATCTGATAGAAACGATTTCCGGCGACCCAACTCCTTCTTTCTCCGTCTTCTCGCCTTGTCAATACTTCTCATTACGGAGCGCCACTGGTGTACCCGGTTATGCCTCGTCGATGAGTCCCATCGCAGAACAGCACTTTGCTCTACCACTCGCCATGCCTTGTCGGCATCCCTGCCCAAAGGCTGGTTGCACAGCTCCGAAAGAACAACCGCGAAAGCATGCCACTCATTGTAGCATTTTGTAAGCCATGACCACTGTGCTACTTGCGGGTCGGTCCGTAGACGGTATGAATGCGCCATACACTCGATGGCGTTCTGGAAAGCGCGTCTCTTTTGCTCGTCCGTGAGGGAAACACCAGAGGACAGTGGGTTGAGGACCATGAGGCGAAGATTTGCAACAATGGTTCCGACAAAGGAGGACGTAAGCTTGAGCAAATGCGACGTCAGAGTTTGGGTGCCATGTCTGAAGTTTGGACGCTTTAGTTATATGTAACTTACACAATGTAAAGAGCCCTGAGATGGTTGACTCTCGGAAATCTTGGTGGCGATATTTTCACGCTGTCTTTCAACCCAAGCCTCCTTGTCTGCTATCGTCATTGAGACAAAGTTCAATCCGGATATTGTGTCGATCCTCCGAGTGTCAATTATCGTCCGCCAGATATCTGATGCCCAGCAGCGGGCAGCGGTGAAGGACATGGTCGTGATACCCTTGGACTCGGAGGGGTACTCCGTCATACCCGGGCATAGATCCCCATCATTCACGTTGATTGGGGGCCGTGAATCGAAGCTACTTAACTCTAGACTAATGGCAAACGTGATCAGTCTCGATGCAAGTGTTGAATGGGTATGAACAACTCACAGGCCAGATGAACATGAGTAGTCTTCGGACGCTGGCGTATCTAGAATGCAAATATTCCACCACAATCGTCGACGCATCTCAGCTTCGAAAGGGGGGAGGTTTAACGTGCTCCCATCTCGATGCATGCCTAGAGATTGAGCAAGCCGCACAGCCAGCCCTGTCATGCTCCATGAGTACGTAGGGTCTCTGCAACGTAATGTAATGAGGTAAATCACAAAAGCTTGCAGTGTGAGCATGTCATCCGTTACCATCAACCTCGCACGAGCAAGCGCAGCGTCAGCACCTCGCCGGAATTTTCCCAACAAATCAGACTGAGCTGATCCAAAACGCGCCTCGCATTCATCATCGGACAGACTGTTTACTGCACCAACATAGATGACAAACAAGAGGGCTTCCAAGGGGGCTGTAAGATTTTGTGGGTTGTGCATTGCTTCGAGGACGGCCGGTTCAACCGAAGGTATGTGCAGGACGGTAGCGACAGGGTGTACGTTGGTGTTGTAAAGCTGCCATGCCTCTAGTCTCTGATTGCGAGGAGGATGCAGAGGGTAAGTGTCGGTTTCTTGGGTGCCGCCTGTAGATATCAAGGAATACTGGAAAAGTTCTGACCGAGAAGATGATGTCTGCTCTTCAAAGTCGGAATCATCCTCGCTGATCACGCCATCATCCAGATCATTCTATTGATAAACAGTTAGAATATCCTTTTAGAATCGCTCACTGCCTTCTCTAAATTGACGTACCTCGGTATGCAAAGCTTCCCAAAATGTTCCACTGACATATCTTTCACGACCGTCATCCCTAACGAGCTTCCCCGTCGAGGTCCCGTATGGCGACCAAGAGTTGACCGAATCGCCTTGAGCACTATCACAGTCAATGTTGGGAATCTCGATATTCGATGCGTCACCGACTGTGGAATTTAGAATCCCCGCCGGAGATTTCAGGCCGAGAGAGATCGCAGCCTGTTCCACCTGAAAAGTGCTGAATTTGACCGCGACGCTCTCTTTCCCTGTATCTCTACATGCGCTTGTCGACGAACCGATTGAATTCGGGGGTGTTGGTGGTGAAGGTGAGGTAGAATCATTATTGACTTCTGGTACTTGCGTTTGAGGAAGTGTTGATATTGAATCTGGACGAGAGCTTGACCCTACGATGGGGGCAGACGATCCTGGGATGTTGCCTTGTTGCATACATTCTGCCAAGGTCTTGAACATCGGCTCCAGACGGTGAAGCTGCTCCCACAGCTGATTGTCAGTGAGAAACTGCCGCGCAGCCGAGCTTCCTTCAGGCGGATAGACACAGTCTGTTCCAGACTTCTCGCAGTGGTGACAAGGTTGTTTCTTGTCGCAACCGACCTTCCGACGACGGCATGCCGTGCAGACGCGGCGTGGGAGAGGGTAGTTCCGAGATGTGTTGCTTTGTGGATGGGATTGAAGAGGCTGCTGCTGCTGCTGTTGCTCTCCTTGCTGGTGCCGGTCTTCAGTATTGGAGGGATTCCATGCAGCGACAATGGAGTCCGCAATTGCTTGATTGCCGGGCGAGGCTTGTGATCGAGCCTTCGCCGGGGTTTCAAGCACTCCAGGCCCCATAATCTTGCACAAGCGGACTCTACGGTCTGAACACCCGAGAGGCCGAAATGATAATCCGAGTTCTTGCTTCGTCCTTAGATCTATAAGAACAATACGCCTATCGTGGATGTCGCTTGCTCATGAGTTGTTTATATTGTAAAGATGAGCTGCTACATGTGTACCGTGTTGCATCACGCGTGATTGCGGACAGAATGAGGAGTCGAGGGAAAGACTTGCTTTGCAAAACAAGCAGAAAATAACGAGCGCTGGAGTGATAGAATACATGGAGATAAGGTGATGGAAAAGAGAGGGATCACGAGGGGGATTCACCACCACCAAGCCATGTTGGGACGAGGCGCACGGAGGGAACATGGTGTAGGCCGAGAGATAAGACCTTGACAGGGGGGCGAAGTGCGGGGAGAAGCACTACAGACGAATCACGATGGACACAATTACCAACCCAAGACGCCTTTGCAAGAGCGCAGCAGCTGAAGCGGCACTGGGTCACCTTTTGTCTACCTTTCTTGTTCACGGCACATGGGAGCGTGGCATAGATCAACGCCATGGCAGACTAGGGCTCTTACATGATAAAGTGTTTGGCGGGGAACCCGTCTGGCAGTCCACTCCTCCGCACAACGTTGGCCCCTGATGATAGCGCTGTGGGGTTGTAGCCTTGTTTGGCAATGTGGATATGAGTAGCAGAGAAGTAAACCGCAGTAGTAGCTCGGCCGACCCCTCCGGTCCAGCTCTCCATTCCAACCCCAGTCGGCGTTTCGGATGGCGAAGTATTCCAGAGCGAACGTGAACTTGAACTGACGCCAGCATATCCTGTATAAGTTGAGGTGGTCCCTGAATCGATCAATGAAACCCGCTCTATGTTAAGCTAGAGAGATATTCACACAGGCGACAACATGTCAGCAATGGAGACATCAAGCCAGCAGATAGGAAACTCGGAGTGGCTCATCCACGTCCCAGACTTTCCGGAGGCCAAAGACCGGAGGGCTGCCGTGTTCCCGTATGTCTCAGCCCAGACTCAGAGGAGAGGTTATGAATTGACATCCCGACGCGAAACAGACAACACATTGAGCGGATGAAAACAGATCCTCAAGGCTTTTGGGTGTTTGGAGGTGGGATATCCGCTGCCCCGTGGGCCGCCGTTCATCAATGCCGTCCACATCCATGTTTAGCTAACATTTGTTCAACGCAGGAGCCACTTTGGCGGAGCCCGTGGGCCCCGGCCAAACCCCGCACATCACGGGCAGTGCCATGCTTGTCTTTGCGCCCACACGGGAGCGGGTTTTAGCGCGACTCATGGATGATCCGTTGGTCAAGGAGAAGATCTGGGATATCGAAAAGGCTCAGATTCATCCATTCTTACGTCCGAAAAGAACTCCCCTCTGAGACGTTCAATTATTACCCAATGGAAATGTCCAGTCTGATTGGTTCTAGAGGGGGATATTGCGTGTGGTCAAGTTGCGCAAAAAACGAGACAAGTCGGCAATGAATTATCCAACCATCAATAACAATGGCTCGGGAAGAAATGGTGATCATATCCTTAGAATGAGAGGCCCAGGAACTCGCAGTCCCCTGAGATAGACGATTTCATATCTTGAACCCTGTTTGCCCAATTTTTCCCCTAGTACTCACTTTCAACTGATGTTAACGCCCCGCAAGATGATCAACCCAAACTTGTTGCCAGAATTCCCCGAGAAGCTTTGCACTCTTCGAATCTCCCGCTGGAAGCAATTGGCTCACGTAGACAGCCCCAAGCCCACTTTCTCGGTTCACAAACCACCCAATATTAGGCATCCCGTTCCATGTCAGACATTTTGCGGGGAGGTTAGGCGTACCCTCTTTGATTACCATACCACCCAGTCCGAATGCTACTCCGGGGCATCCCGTGTCGTCCCCCGTCAGTTGTTTATGCAAAGCCTATCGGTCCTTCGTATTAGAGTTTGGGACGCTCAGCTTGGCTGCTGCGCCAGAGGGTGGGGAGCTAGGCACACCTCTTGTTTGATCAACCCTCCGTATTGACTGGTGCCTTGGTGAAACTGAGGAGTGAACATTTCTGTCACGGATTCGGCCTTCAGAAGCACTGGACTGTCCCTGAGTAGGTCCGTCAAGACTTTGACGAAGTCTGACGTAGTAGTGATGAGCCCCATCCCACCGGAGCTCTCCTGTGCATCTTCCGGGTAAGGTGAAGGGATGGGGGCCAGCTTTCCCTCTTCGGTTCGTAGAAACATTTGAGCTAGTAGTCTCCGCATATCCGGTCTTTCTGTTATGTCAAGTGTCG